CTTGATTAAAACAGTTCATCAGTGAGGACAATTACAGCTCTAACAGAAACCTTTGAGTGCACGTCAAACATGAAACCAGTGGAGGGAAAAGCAATCAGTTGCCTGACCGTTTGGTTTCATGGACATTAAGAAGCATCATCATCATATTATGTCATTATCTACACCAATAGACATTCACTCAGTGCATACCGACAGGCATGTCCCGGCAGAATGCCCAGCCAAACTTCTTTCTTTCTTTTTCAGTGAAACACGCTGTTCGGTTCTTCGGTAGAAATGGGCGTTTTAGATGAAGCGTAAGTACTACATGGCTAGGATTACGTTGGCATAATCCTGATGTTGGAAACACTAAATGAACTGATTCAGGTTTGTTTCACATAGCTTCCTTTCACTTAATTCCAGATTTCAGAAAGAATATGTTTCTTCGGGTCAGGACTGCAACCTGAGCCGAAGTAAGGTAAAAGGGAGGCTATGTGAGACTCTTGGGACATGTGATGTTGCTTGCAGAACACAACATTACATGTCCTAACACAAACAAACAATGTCGTTTGACCAATGGCGTCGAACGAGCCATGAGAGCGACCGGAGGAAACGGACGCTCTCATGGCTCGTGGCTCGTTGCCGAGAGACAAACTCCTTTTGTCGTGTGTTTTAATGCGCTTCTGGACCCCATAACTGAACTCATGATTTGTACGCCCGTAAACCAATATCAGTGAGGAAAAACTGTGGTGTCAGGGAGTAAATAGCCGAGTTGATCTTTACTGTAAGTGGATGGCCATTCACTAAAAAGAAAAAAAGGCAGGAGGCTTCTGGACCGCCCGCCAAGTCTGAAGAGAGGTCGTCCATCAAGGCTCGCTGTTAACTATGAACTCAGTTTCCCGTGGCAGAAACGTAAGACAATTCAATTCAAGACTGATTGATTGAGTCTGAGCCTTGGAAGTTCTACGTGTATGCATGTGGAGGTGTGTGTGTGTGTGTGTGTGTGTGAGACTCAATCGATAATCAATAGGCCTGCTTTGAAGTTGAGTAGGACTGAGGTCTCTCTATCAGAACAGCTTGAGAGTATTAGAGTAAAGCCCAGTAAGGCCATAGGTGTTAGGAATTAAAAACCTCCACACCACCCACCCACCCACCCACCCAGCACCACACACACACACACACAACCACACACACACACACACCACACACACACACACACACACACACACACTACAACACACACACACACACACACACACACACACACAACACACACACACACCACACACACACACACACACACACACACACACACACACACAACACAACACCACACACACACACACACACACAACACACACACACACACACACACTTAATTTTTGTTATTGTAAGTTGTACTTACATCCTTAAATAAAACATTTTTGACTGAATTGGGGTGGAGTGTAACTTTGATAATGCGTTTATCATTTGCTACATTTCCTCTGAACAAACCTGTGAGCATCAAATCAAACCCATAGAGGCGTGTGGATGATTTCCAGTGTCATGTGGTTAAGGTGGTGAAGAATAAAACAAACTACGAAACGGCGAGGGTGAGTACGAACGACCAGAAGAACAAAGAAAGAAAGAGAGAGAAGCAAATTTGATCCGGTTGGTGGAGAGCATGGGGGGGGGGGGGGGCAGAGGAAGAACTTTACCGGGTGCTGCTCCTGTCGAGTTTCATCGAAGGTGGAGAGTCAGTGACAGCGAGAGACAGAAAGACAGGGACAGAAGAAGAAGAGGAGGAAAGAGAGGGGGGGGAACACATAGAAAGACACACACAGAGACACACACAGAGACACACACAGAGACACACACAGAGACACACACAGAGACACACACAGAGACACACAGAGACACACACAGAGACACACACAGAGACACACAGAGACACACAGAGACACACACAGAGACACACACAGACACACAGAGACACACACAGAGACACACATTGATAGAGACAGAGACAGAGACAAGACAAGAGAGGGGGTTTGGTAGAAAACAGGGAAAAATACATCCATATGAGAGACAGACAAAGAAGGAAGGACAGCAAGAGGGCAATACCCCCCACCCGTTAACACCCAAACTGTACATACACTCAGAAACACACTCTGATTGCAAAATTTAAAGCGATATTGAAAAAGGCTGAATGTAATTATGATAAAACATTCAGATATTGTAAATTAAAGGGGACCTATCATGCAAAATGCACTTTGGTACGTCTTTTCTACATGAATATGTGTCCCCGGTGTTCCAGGGAACTCACCAAGTGTCAGAAAACACAACCCTCTCTATTTTCCTCCATACCCAAATCTCTAAAAAAGGGGCTGCAACGGATCTGATAAAAACTGATCCAGATTTGAACACTGTCCTGACGTCAGGACGGTGGCGCTACGGCTATTGGGCCAACTCCACCAATCAGGAGGAGACAACCACGGCCATTGCCGTTCGAAAGCGCTGGAGACGCTGTAGTACATATGCCAGGCCAGTAGATGGTGCTGTTCTCACTGAATCTGCCCAGAGCTAGAAATGGTCAAATTGAGCGAAATGAGGCATGGCTAAAATGCATGATCTGTTTGGTATTTTGAAAAAAAAAAAGTATAAATATGCCTTATATAGGTATGGTCCTACACTATATTATTCAAATATAGCATGATAGGTCCACTTTAAGTTGGTTCCTTTCCTAAATCTTGATTTTTGAAGCATACATCTATTGTTTAAAGGCTTGTTTTTCAATTAAAACAGAAATATATGTATGTGCTTTTAAATAAAATGTATTATTTTCTATTCTTCAGTTCACAGCTTTCCCTCTTAATCAGTTAAGTAAATGACCTCACATAAAACATTTAACTCAATTACATATATTTGATAGGCTTGATCATTCCTTCCACTTACATTACAATACTTAAGGATGACCCTTTAATTCTACCAGAACTGCATTTACCTTATTTAATTTATCATAACAAATGTATATACTTCTCCAGGAACTATTTGACATCTTTAATCAGAGCACTTTTATGAATCAGGCCCTCCTGGCTTTTCTTCTGCTCTGCCACCACTTCTATGAAAAATTACCTTCACGGTTGGAAGAGGAAACTCGATTGCTGCATCCATTTACACCGATTCTTATCTTATCAGACCATAATGATCAATTAGACCAAGCCTACAGCGTAAATTGCCCTCATTAGATCTGGTATTATCATCTAGTGGGATTTTATCAAAGATCTTTGGCATGCACAAGGGAAGAAAAAAAGCGTTAAGTGACTACAAGTGTCCGGTTCCAGGTTCTCTTGACATATCAGAGCAGAAAACACTCAGGACAGCCGTCATGAGCGGAGACTCAAGAAACCAGGATTTGTGTGTATTGTCCCATACACGCACACCGTCAATGGAAAGAAAAAAGGCATTCCCACAGAGTTCTGCGACTGCATGCAGCTCTCAGACAGTGTTTCATTCAGTTATTTTGTGGATGAAGAGTGCCAGAAGCGCAGTAGTTGTGTTTAAAACCCTTACAAATATGAATCCATTGCACTCTGACCATGCTAAGACTGTCCTCCGCACAATGGTTCTGTGATGGACCTGCTTTGAAACAATGTCATGCGTAACAGAGACATTTCAAAGGTGTGTGTGTGTGTGAAGATTTTGCCCCTTTTAAGCAAAACTGAACTGTAGCTCAGCCCTGGAGCAGATGGTGGGAGCGAGGAGGCAAAGGAGGAGAGATGGTGGAGAGGGAGGACATATGGAGAGAAGAGGGGGCAATGATGGGAGAGTATCCTAAAAGGGAACCAGTTAAGAAAGCTAGAAGGAGAGGAGAAAAGGGGGAGAGGAAGGGGACCAGTAAAGGAGGGGAGGAGGCATCCTTATTGTGGCAGGGAGTCATGCTGTGGAGGGTGCAGCAGTGGAGTGATTTCAACGTTGCTGTTTGTGCATTTGGTGATATTTCACTTTGATTGAACAGTTTCACGTTTCGTTGTGCATTTAAAGAGTTCAGGGTCTGTCCACCATCACTGTGTCTTTCTGGAATCTCGTGGCTAGTGGTTCTTTTACTGCTGGAAGATCTTTTTAATTTCTTATTGATTTTCGGTCATTTGCACTGGGGCAAGTTGCATAGAGTAAGCTTAATACTAATCAAGAACTGGTCTCTAATTGTAATGCAGAATAGGTCAATAAAACATGTCTAAAATGTATAAAATTAGCCACCCATCCCTCTCCTGGCTAAGTTTGAGGTTAGAGCTTTGCTGCTATGTCAATATAGTGTATATATATTCAGTAAACAACTGTTTATCTATTCCTTTGAACTAACCAATTAAGCAGTTTACTCAGATTATTAGATAACTATTTCAATTGTTAATGTATGACTTTTAGCTAACTCTTAGGAAGCTATTTCAACTGTTTACGAGTTGGTTTTAGCTTACTTTTAGCCCTAGGTTATAGCTAACCTTTAGCTAACTATTTTGAACTGTTTATCATTAGCTAACTTTAAGCTAACTATATCAGGTGTATTTTTATGCATATCGATTTCTTTTAACTGACTTTTTAGCTAACAATTCAAACTGTTAATCCATTACTTTCGGATAACTTTTTATCCATTGGTTTTAGACAACTTTAAGCTAACTTTTTCAACTGTTTATCATTGGCTAACTTTAAGCTAATTTTTTCAACTGTTTATCATTGGCTAACTTTAAGCTAACTTTTTCAACTGTTTATCATTGGCTAACTTTAAGCTAACTCTTTCAACTGTTTATCATTGGCTAACTTTAAGCTAACTCTTTCAACTGTTTATCATTGGCTAACTTTAAGCTAACTCTTTCAACTGTTTATCATTGGCTAACTTTAAGCTAACTTTTTCAACTGTTTATCTTTGGCTAACTTTAAGCTAACTTTTTCAACTGTTTATCATTGGCTAACTTTAAGCTAACTTTTTCAACTGTTTATCATTGGCTAACTTTAAGCTAACTATATCAGGTGTATTTGTATGCAACTGGCCCCTGATGTTATACAGCTGATTCAGTGAAGGTTCACCTCTCTGGAACTTCAACACAGATGTGAAAAGGTTAACCAAAGAAATATATCACCTTGCGATCATCATATCATATCAGCTGCCTCCTGAAAGCTTCACCTTAAAAAAACTTGTATGTGCACCTTCCCCATCCTGCTTGCTGCCTGATTTTCTTTAGCTGCCGTTTGTTTCCTTGAATACTGTTCACATTGCATTCAGACCGCGGGCAACAGCATTGTTTTAATTCTAACAGCTTATGTGTTAATTTTTCATAGGACATTAGATAACTGTGCATTATTTTATTAGAAAATGTTGAAGGTGCTGACAGCTTTTCTGAATATCAAGAAAGCTCGTCAAACATTGTAACTGGCTGAGTTTTTTAGTTGCTGACAGTGTGAACATACAGGAACAATTTCATTAAGAACACGACTATAACGTATATTTGTTAATAAAAATAATGTGTTTAGACAGATGCAAAGCAAATTCATTAACACCTTTTTATATAGAAGTGTTAGGATAATTATTTTTCAGGGCTACTGGGGATAGCAGTCTGGAAAACACATTGTCTTGCAATCCTAATCCTAAATATGATAACAACAATTCAGAATGATTTCTTTGGTCCTGAAGACAAATGACTGGTGGTGGTGTTGTTGCATTCATAAGCATCAAAATAGCACTGGAGTAGATTGTAGCTGTCTCCAGCTAGCATCATATGTTTGTTGTGTTGTTGTGAAAATGAGTTTTTGTCCCTTACTATATATATATATATACATCTTTGACGCTTTTTGAAATATGTATACTTGAAGTAGAAACCAATTGGCTAGTTTGAGTGCCGACAACAGCATTGGGACGTCAGAGAGCATTAAGAAGTTGGTTTAAACATTTGTTTTAGGCAGAAATTAAACATTTGAACAAATACTTTTTTCAACATTGTGACCCCTGTTCATGCCACCTAAAGCAAATGTACACCTGTGTGCGTCACTCATGTTTTTACATTGACTTATTACACATAAAACCACTTCCAATAGTTGCTTTGCATTCAATCTAAAACACCCTTTGACAGTAGCTATTAGCTCTCATACTTAGAGAACATATTTAAGCACATTCTTTGCCTGTGACTGCCTCCGAACAACACTAACATAGTTCTGAGTGATGCTGAGAACTGCATCATAGGTTGTGTTCAGGTTCATGCAGTCACCAAGGCAGACATGCAGTAGAGCTGAGGAGGATGCACACACAAGCTTTTCTCTCTCTCACATACTCTTCTGTGTCTTTCTCAAAGACAAACATACATTCAGCCCCTCCAGTTGCATATATCATACATATATTATACATATGTATTAATCTATAAACTGCCTCGGCATAGTAAAAAATCATTCCACCAACCACACACTGCCCTAGCATGCCTCCCTCCTTCCCTCCCAGCCTGACTTCCCCCGGGTCGTGCAGAGGAAAGAGAGTCAAATACCTTTGTCCGGGCACGTTAACATGGTCAAAACGACGGATGTGTGTTTGTGTTTGAGTGTGTGTGGGTAAAAAGGGGGGGACGAGGCGATGAGCCACAGTAGGGTTCTTCACCAGTGGACTGAGAGCCTGGGCACTTAAAGGGTTAAAGGTGTCTGGGGCGCCCTCACCCCCACGGACTGACCGCCGGGGACCTCCAGCTGGGAGGACGGGGGAGGATGAAGAGGCGGGAGGTAGAGGAGGGGTAGGGTTGGGTAGGGGGCAGGATGTTGGCTTTGATGGTTGTTGAAGAGGTGAAGTTGAAAGGTGTGTGTGGTGGAGTTTGAAAGGGCATAAGGGTTAATAACGCACTACAGGGGTAATAATCAACAAGGGTGGAGGCTGGGGTGGGAATAACGCCAAGCTAGGGAGCGTGATACACATTCCCAACATACAGCAACCTGACTCGAGAATGTGCTAGAACTGGTCTTCAAATGTAAATGTTCTAGTCCTTCATGGTGCTACCAGAAACAAAGGTTTTAGCATTTATTTATACATCTTACAGTAAATGCCTCGATGTAGATGTAGACCTGTTCTTATCTTAAGTATCCTCTGTTTTTTTTTAATATACAGGTAGTTGAAGAACTGGACTAATTTGATTCTGCTTGACCAGCTTTGAGTTGGAGCAAGTAAACAAAACAGCAAGTAAAACTTCCCTTTCTGTTTGCAGAGGCAAGCATTTTGGAAAGTGTTTGAACTACTAGGGTTAGGGTTAGGGTTTATACATTCCCCTTTTGTCATGCACTTTGCTGTATGTTAGGAATATAGGACATCTAGCAGGGATGACATTGGGAAATTGGATAGACACGCAGAATGTAACGATAGATAGGAGAGGGTCTTGAAAGGTGGACGAGAATGGAGGGACAGGAAAAGCATCAGCAGGAACAAAAGATGTGGAGGACCCTAGTAGGGTAGAGGGTGTTGGTAGGAAAATGTTTAAGGAGACAAAGTCAAGAAAGGAGGAAGGGATGACTCACGGCCTGTTAGAGGACATATCAGTGCGGGAAGATAGGAAGACAGGAGTATACGGTTAGACAGTAAATGGGAAATGATCTTTGGGATTGAGATGATTGTTTCAGGCAAGGGTTGGGGTTAATGACAGTGTGAAACAGGGTTACTACACTCTAAAAAATTATGTCATTTTAGTATTTTAGGGTTCCTCGATTGAAACTAAAGAGAAATTCTCCAAAAAGTGAAGATGTTCGTTTCATAGTGGTTTCAAAGGAGTACCTCAGGGTACACTGTGAGGTTCCCAAAAGATTGCAACATTAAGAAAAATGTTATGAGGAACCTTTTTTTTTTTTTTTTTTTTTAGAGTGTAGGTCAAGGGTGATGATCATCCACAACGTTAGGGAAATAATTTGGTTAGGATCACGGGAAGATTTCCAGATGAAGGTGGCGATGAAACGTAGAGAAAGACCTGCTGATATGATACACATGTGATGATGACCAATGAGAAGATAGACATGGAAATGGAGAACGGGTACTGCAGGAGGAAGGGACATGAACAGACAATGACCAGACTACAGAAAATAGATTCAAGAAGAAAGAGAGGACCAAGACAGACAGAAAACAAGAAGTTCAAGAGAGGCTAGAGCAGCAAGAGAAAGTGGAAAAGGAGAGTTTAATAGTGTAAGAGAAAGACAGAAAGAGTAGAGAGTAGAAAGAAAAGGACATGATGATTTCTGAAGTACAGCAGGCTGAGATAAGAGTAAGATCAGCATTGCCTGGTGTACCTGATGCACAAGGCTGGGCGACAAGGGTCTTTCTGTGGATGGTGAATATGTGTGTGTTTGTGTGGGTGGTGGAGATGATGAAGAGGAGGGTGGGGGATTGGGGGCACTTACGTGAAGGCGAAGGCCACCAGAGCACCACTAACCACTATAAAGTCCAGAATATTCCACAAGTCGCGGAAGTAGGCGCCCTGGTGGAGAAATAGGCCCAGTACCACCATCTGGAAGACACAGAGCACAGTGAGTAAAATACATACACACATTTACAGAAATACATTTACAGACTATAGGGTTTGGCGATTGGTTGCACTAAAAAAAAATTGAAATCTTGCCCAGTATGTGTCTAATATCTAATCAGAATATGACTCTACACCTGATATAAGACACAATAACTTCAGAAGTAACACTGCAGTGAGATATCAGGTCTTGTTTTAGACAATGCATCATCTTGTTGAGTCAAAAAATCTTATTTTGAGTTGTATCTCAGATGAAGCACATATTATTTAACATATTTATTAGAAAATCACCAACTAACTTCAGAAATCAGAAAACCTTTGAGCATTTACGGATTATTTTGTAACAGCATTTCCTGATTCTGGTAAAATATAGTTCAAAATGAGTTCTCCAGATAATTACAAGATGTGATTTATCTAAATATCCCTTCTTATTTCAAGAAATCTTACCAAGCAAATGTTCACTTGTTCTATTGGCAGATTTTTGTACTTATTTCAAGTGAAAACGGCTTGTTTTCATTATTGTTTAACTTGTTTTTGGAGCAGCATTTTTTCCAGTGCGAGTGTTACCCTGGTTGTTTTTGTTTGGGAGCTTCTTGGTAATTTTTAGATGCTAATTTATAGGTCTTTTCAGAATAATGAGGCAGGGATGATTTCATTTATTACACAGCTTAGTTGAATACTCGTTTCTGATTGGACAATTTGGACATGCCAGAAGTCTGTTATTTTCCGCTAACAGACCGTTTCTAAGGAGAACAGACCGTTACGCTGATCACGATGTCGGTGTGTCATTAATGACCGCCTTGCTGCACATTATCCCTTACTTGGACATGTTACTCTGTGAATTAAGGGAAACGGGAATTTGCTTCTGTCAAATTTAAGGATTAGAGATTCTCATATGAACAGTAGCTACAGTGTAGTTGAATGTCTTGAGTCCCAGACAACCTGAAAACTAAAAAATACCAAAGAGGGATCAATATAGTATATCTTATCTAATATAATATAATACTTAAGAAAGGTAGTGCAAGTAATACAATGGTAAAATGCAACCCTAATGATGTGCATGTAAGATAATACTGAATGTAAAGTTAAATGTCGTACAGCAAAAATACTGTTCAGTGTAACGATATATAAATGAATATTGAATACTGTTGAAATATTTCAGTATATTGCCAAACCCTAATTGATACACAGTAACTTAACACTGAAAGCACAAATAAAAATAATGCACTCAAAGGCACACACACATCAACATACAGAGAAAATAAATAACACACACACACACACACACACACACACACACACACACACACACACACAACACACACACACACACACACACACACACACACACACACACACACACACACACACACACACACACACACCACACACACACACACACACACACACACACACACCACACACACACACACACACACACACACACCACACACACACACACACACAACACACACACACACACACACACACACACAGTGATACTTTGTTACCTTGATCAACATTTCGAATGTGAAGACGCCTGTGAAAACGTAGTCAAAATAACGCAGCACCTGCAGAGCAACACAACACCGTGAGATATAATGATCAGAGTAGAGAGAAACATAGAGAAGGAAGCAGGAAGATGAATCAGAGAGAGAGAAACATAGAGAAGGAAGCAGGAAGATGAATCAGAGAGAGAGAAACATAGAGAAGGAAGCAGGAAGATGAATCAGAGAGAGAGAAACAGAGAGAAGGAAGCAGGAAGATGAATCAGAGAGAGAGAGAGAAAGAGGAAACACAGCAGGAGAGATTAACTAAGAGATAGAAAGAGACAAACCAGAGCCTAATCCTAATCTTAATCCGGTTTTCAGTTTCTATTTTCAAACTGCCTTTTCACAATATTTATTTGTCATATCCAATTTTATTTTTTGGTTGTTGGCAAAACTATCGTCAATGAGCACGAGCAGTGATGGCCACGAATTATGTAAGGAGAACATTTGAAACTGTTGCTTTATTACATTAAAATTGTATGATATTATGTTCACTTTAAAAACCTGCATGCTCGTGCTAGCCTTTACATTTCTTTTACCGTCGTTATTTTCTATACAGCTTTCATTTTAATTTGAATATATTGCACATATTTATAGCCTTTTTCATATTTGTTTATTTTCTGTTAAAGTTTGGGAGCCTCACTCATAAACGGCTGTTTTGAACCCTTAGATGCATAAGTGGGTCTTTTTTGACCCGTTGAGGTGGTTTTCTTGAAGTATCTTTGTAATTACATTTTTTTATCATTTCATATTCCAGCTATTCCTCAAAAAACATGTTTTGGATATCATGCCATTCAAATTTTAAATGTAAATGTTAAGAAATTGTAGTTTTTGTATTTCTACCCCAAGCTTCCATAAGTGGGTCAAAAATGACCCGCATGCATTTTCTATGGAATTTCGTTTTTCTTTCCAAAATGTAAAAAAAATGTCTAAAATTATAAATAGTTAAAAATGTAATATAAAATATTTCTAGTATGAACCAAAATATAATACTAAATATTATACAAGTGATTTTTCTTAACCAAAATGACAAAGATTGCATAAAAACACATATTATTCTAATACGGGTCCTTTTTGACCCACTTATGGAAGAGTGTAGGGTCCAGTCACTCGGGCATCTAAGGGTTAAATATCATCGAGCATGTAGCTCAAGAACCACTAGGTTGCCATCTGTAATACTTTGTTTCCTTTTTTAAAGTACTGACAATTAAAGGTGGGGTAGGTAATTTTGGAGAAACCAGCTCGAGTGCGTAGAATTTGAAAATACACAACCGGAGAAAATCTGCCACTTCCTTACAGAGCCCCTCCTCCAACACACACGAACGCGCACATGACCAATGAGGGCACGAGATAAGTTTGTGCACCGATGGAAGGCTGACAGGCAGGTAGGCCATCCAGTTATTTTAGCCGGGCCGGCTAAAATGATTGGTCGTGCTTTTTACAGTACTACGGCTTCCACTGATGATATTTTTTATGGATTTTTTGTCAAAGCACTTCAGATATTCATTGCTATCGGGATGTTAAGAGCATTCCATGGAATATAACAAAAAGTGTATCTCGAGCCGGTTTCTCAAACTTACCTACCCCACCTTTAAATGACATCTGACAATATATGTTAAAAATGTAAACCTTATCACTTATTTGATAACCTGTAAAGGCCTGTTTGTCGTGATATGCATTGTGAAGATGATATGCTGAACATTATCAAACATGCAGCAATAGTACTTTTGCAAGATTAAAACAAATCAGAACTGTTACTATCATTATTAACCATCAATAAGTCCTTTACAAACATTTTCATTTAATTTCCTCATGGGCTAATATTACACCTACGTCTGCTTGAGTGAACATTTTAGTGGACATTTGGCTCATCTGTGTATGTGTTGGAGAGGTTTTATTTTTAAAAAGGATGTGTTGATACACATTGGTAGGCGGACAGAAAGACACACAGAGCGATGTCTCACATTGTTTCGAGCTGAATCAGGACTGATGGGGTCCTCTGCAGCCAGGGCGATGCTGCTCATGGCGATGACAGACAGGATGCTGAACTCAAAATACTTCAAAGTCAGGATGTAGTGACAGCACCTCCGAAACCTGGTGCAAACACACAGACACATTCACGAGTTGGGACAACACACAACTGAAACATATCCTGGCCTTTTGGATTCTGGTGATCTGCTTTACATGAATGCCTCTGACCAGTGCCTAAAGAGTTTGGACACTATGTACCATCGCTCATTACGTTTTGTTACTGGATGTGGATATCGTGTACACCACTGCACTCTGTATGCTGCTGCTAATTGGCCATCTTTGTTTGCACGCAACTTTCCCATTGGTTGGGTTTTATATATAAATCTCTGCTTGGGTTGGTTCCCTCATATATTTGCACATATATGTGTCAAAAAACAAAGTCTATATGGCCTGCGCTCCCAACATTTTATTCAGATGCTGGTTCCTAAAGTGAGAACAGAACTGGGTGAAACAGCTTTTAAATATACTGCCTCTTCTGCTTGGAATAATGTACAGAAGGAGCTGAAACTGTCCGATTTGATCACTACGGGGGAGTTCAAGTCCACCTTAAAGAACAGAGAACAAGAAACCATTAAGGTTCAAGGTTCAAGGTCAAGGTTCAAGGTTCTTTATTGTCAATCTGACATAGCTACAGAGTAATTATGCAGTTGAAAATCTTATGTCACTTAGTCGTTGTGATTGATCGTATATCCCTTAATTGAAGTCGTTTTAATTTGTGCCAGTTTTTAATGATGTATAATGGTTTCTTTTATTTGCATATTGACTGTTTTTTTGCCATTTAATTTGTGATTTACGACCGCTGTTTTCGTCTGCATGTATTGTCTGTGTTGTATCCGTTGTAACTTTGTTCATGCTGCCCTTCTTGGCCAGGTTGCTCTTGAAAAAAATATCTCAATGAGACCTTTTACCTGGTTAAATAAAGGATATATATATAAATATTCATACGGGTTGGTGGTGGACATTATGAAGCAGGAGCTGAAGGGAGGCATGGGTTTGGGTCCGCCTTCTTTGCCCCCCTCGTCGTCCTCCTCCTCCTTCTTCTCCTCGCTCTTCTTCTGGTCGGTGTTGGCGTTCTTGTTCACTGAGCAAAACAAAGAGAGAATAAATAAAGGGATTGACAGACAAAGAGACAGAAAGAGGTCAGCTTCACCAGAGCAAGACGGTAAACACGTGAAACACATCGGCCAGCATTGTTTCCAGAACAGAACTGAATGAGACTGGATTCGCACCAGTGTTAGCCAGTAGATCAATGGTTTTAAAAGTGGCACACCACCAGTTTTACCTGCCAAAGTTAATTTACTTTTGATGGAGAGTACTACTCATTGTACAAAAACAGTTGGAGTATATATGTCAAGTGAGAGAATGAGTCAAGTATCCATTACACATTATGTACACGTGGACATTTCAAGGATTAACCAAAGATGCTTTTTCGTTTGTTTTGTTATAGAAATTCAACATTCACACACACATTAATACACTGATGGTAGAGGCTACCGATGTGCTTATGAGGATCTAATGTAAAGGCTCATTAACACTTGTATGATGAGCAATTTGGGGTTCAGCATCTTGCCATATGAAAAGTTGACATGTGAACTAGACAAGTGGACGTCTTGACTCCAGAGCAACAGTGGCTGTTTCACACGACTTGGAACTAATCATGTCTTAGTCTCTACTGCTTCAAATTTGATCATATGTCTATTGAAATGTCCCCTAACTTAAAGTGGACCTATCATGCTATATTTGAATAATATAATAATATATAATAAGGCATATTTATACTTTTTCTTTTTCAAAATACCAAACAGATCATGCATTTTAGCCATGCCTCATTTCGCTCAATTTGAAAAATGTTAGCTCTGTTTTTGCAAGGGCTGATTCAGTGAGAACAGCACCATCTACTGGCCTGGCATATGTACTACAGCGTCTCCAGCGCTTTCGAACGGCAATGGCCGTGGCTGTCTCCTCCTGATTGGTGGAGTTGGCCCAATAGCCGTAGCGCCACCGTCCTGACGTCAGGACAGTGTTCAAATCTGGATCAGTTTTTATCAGATCCGTTGCAGCCCCTTTTTTAGAGATTTGGGTATGGAGGAAAATAGAGAGGGTTGTGTTTTCTGACACTTGGTGAGTTCCCTGGAACACCGGGGACATATATTCATGTAGAAAAGACGTACAAAAGTGCATTTTGCATGATGTGTCCCCTTTAAAAGAAAGGGCAATTCCAAATGGCTTAAGTATTTGTTGACTAATCTTTTCAGTTACTATCGAGACCTTTAATCAAGACAGCTGTATTGAGTCTGCAGTACTGTTCAATGTGTAGTTACAACACAATATTCATTGAGTTTAAAACATGCTTTACCTCGGTATTGCCCATCGCAATGTGCTCCTCAGCTTCCCTATTCATATTTTAATTGAATTATTTGATCAGGTATTGTTGGCTTTCATCAAAAGAGCATATTTAAATAATCTAGAACAAATCTCATAGTTATTTGTATATGGCCAATACCGTAACTCCATAACCTCCAAGGGTTTTTGACACACCTTTGATAGTCTACCCTGGTTTACAGTGCAGATGCTCACCTTGCAGGATGGCGTTGGTGGAGGGGTAAGGGTACACAGGAGGCATGTCTATCTTGGTGTACTCTGGTTTGGCCATGCTGGTGAGGATCAGGCTGTCCATGCTGTGCAGCAGCGTGTGGGTGTCGGCGTCACGGCAGTTCAGCAGGTTGTTGACGTGGTCAGGGTGATCCGGTGGAAGGTCGTACGGATGCTCCTGGGCACTGGCCAACTTGCTGTTGTTGCGGAAGTTGTCCAGGTCCTCGTTGTACTGCTGAATGGGTCGAGTGGTGGAGAGACTGTGGTGCTCCCTGATTAAGTAGAAGGGTAAAAAGGAAAAGGGATGAAGAAGAAGAAGGGATAAAGGGGGCAGAGGAGCAGTACAAGGTCACACTTCAATGTTGTGTCTCAATTTGTGTAATACTCTACTTTCATTTGCAATATGAGTGCAGAAGTTCCTCCAAATGGAAAAGACAGTATGACCACTCGCAATTGTGTTTTGCAAAACAAAAGTTTTACATGTGTTTCCTTTTAAATATATATATTTTTATATATATTTGTACTTTTGTATTCGGGATTGTGGGAAACAGTATTTCGATCTCTCTGTCTGTACATACAAACTGAAAAATTGACAATAAAATTTACTTTGACTTTTTAAATAAACCTTCACTCACTTTCTGTTGTGATGGTTGCTGTGGCGATGCCTTCTCGTTTTCCTTCCCTCCCCTTCCTCGCCTTTCTCCCCCCCTCCCTCCGTCCCTTTAGATCTGTGTCTCCGGCCCTCCTCCCCCTTGCGGTGCCGGGACCTCCTGTGTTCGTGGTTCCCCTCGACCCCCTCGCTGTGGTGGGGTGACACACTTTGGGCCTCTCTGTTTCGGTGCCTATGTCCTCGATGGCTCCTGTGTCCGTGCCTTTCCTCCCCAGGTTGAACCTGTAAGGAAGAAAATCAATATGTGGCGTAACTTTAAATGAATACACTGTTTTATTCTGAAACCGGAAGTCTAGTGTGTCGACAATGTCGTCAACTTCCGGACGTTGTTTGTAGCCGTTAGCATGTAGCTAACAGTATGTTTTGTACGGGAATATAAGGAGAAATTGCACGTGGTGTTGCACACTAAACACACTGTCTTTAACCATCACTTATTGACGCTGCAATGCTATTATTAGGGAATGTTTAAATAACCAATAAACATTAGAAGATTGTAAAACTAACAACAGGAAATGACGACAGGCAGGACGTGCCTTGGACCCGCCCCCGTCGACGCTAAGCCAATGGGAGAAGACTTCAGATGATAAATATGTGACACAAGCCACGCTGTTAACTTGTAAATAAGCTTCCTGGACTCTTTTCAGCTAATCCTGACTCAATACCGTACAAACCTCAACGTTTCCCAGAGACGTGCAGCTGAATCCATGCTCCATTCGGGTCTTCGCCGGCTGGGTCGTCTCCACATTCTCCGACCCGTTGACTTTCTGATGGTGGTGGTGGTGGTGCCGGTTATTATGGGTGACTCGGTGGAATTGATCCATGTCCTGGCGTTGGTACTCCTGGTCCAGAGGTAGTTCGCCCGGTTGGGTTTTGTTGGTGTTGTTGTTGCGATTGTCCTGCGGGTTGACCACCAGCGGACGGTCCAGGTGGGTCTTCATGTCCCCGCGGGCTTTCCGTGGGATGGCAACCTGGGTGGGGGTTAAAAAAGCAGCAGGTGGGTGAGAAGGTGCTCTAAAAATCAAGAATACATGTTGGGAAAATACTGAATGTACTCTTCCAATATCAGAGTACACATGATAACAAAGGTATCCCTACTGTAGCTGTGTACATGACAGGATGTATGATTACCTAGAAGAGCATCAGGACTGTTTTAGGCATATGATAGCTATGTGATTAACATGATGATTCAGCCTCTATGGAGATAGACATATTACATTACATTACATGTCACTTGTTAGACGCTTTTATCCAAAGCGACTTACATACTCAATACTGTGGGCAATCCCCACAGGAGCAATTAAGGGTGAAGTGTCTTGCCCAGGGACACAACGACATGCTGACTGCAGTGGGGTTTGAACCTGTTCCGAACACCTACGCACAACGACGTGGAGCTAATCTGAACTAAATACTGTTGAATACTGCTTTGAACCAGTATTCCTCCATCTTGTGACTGTGTGAGAATTTTGAGATTTTGAGAGAAAGTCCACATTTTGAGAAAAAGTCTACATTTTTTGATTTTGAGAAAAGTCCAAATTTAGAGATTTTGAGAAAAAGTCATAATTTAGAGATTTTGAGAAAATGTCATAATTTAGAGATTTTGAGAAAATGTCATAATTTAGAGATTTTGAGAAAAAGTCATAATTTTGAGAAAAATTCATAATTTTGAGAAAAAGTCAGAATTTTGAGAAAAAGTCAGAATTTTGAGAAAAAGTCAGAATTTTGAGAAAAAGTCAGAATTTTGAGAAAAAGTCAGAATTTTGAGAAAAATTCAGAATTTTGAGAAAAAGTCAGAATTTTGAGATTTTGAGAAATAATTTAGAAAAAAAGTCAACATTTTGAGATTGTGAGAAATAATTTAGAAAAAAAGTCAGAATTTGGAGAAAAAGTCAGAATTTGGAGAAAAAGTCATGTTGAGATTTTCTGAAAAAAGCCAACATTTTGAGAAAAAACTCAGTATTTTGTACATGACAGGATGTATTATTACCTACTAGAACCAGTATTCCTCCATCTTGTGACTGTGTAACTCCCTCTCCTGTATATCAGCATGTGAAGGACACTGTTCAGGAACTAGTTGATGCTCTGTATGTGATGACTACTTCCATTCTGGAGAGGATCATAAATACATGGATCCTGATATTGAAGCTCAAGCCGGTGACAACTTATATTTCTAACAATACATTATCCTACTACTGAGCCCACTGGCCTCTACGCTACCATGCACATACACTGGAACTGAAGGCAATTCAATGTGTGATTCTTTTAAGTAACATTTAATAAATAATACAAACAAGATTTCTATAGATTTGTGCTTTTGACTCTTCACACAAATGTATTTCCACTGACCTTCTTTATTAAGGTGGCAGCATATACTGTATACTCAACTCATCTGAACATATGATTACATCTTTTCAATTGTCTATGTATGGCAATTGCAATATTTATATATGCTTGTTTATAAGATGCATTAATTCTCAATTTCCTATATATCCGTTTTTTTTTTTTTTTTAAAGATAAGACATAGTTCCTTTTAACTCATGCAGGAGGAGATTATAATCTTTAAATCTTAAGTATAAGCAGTTTGTCAAAGGTACAAATAACCGATGGAACACCCAAAGCAAAGATGGACTATAATGTGTAGATGGAACTTTTGTTGTGCAACTAGAATGATCTGGAACAATGAAGGAGACTCATTCCTCATTGACTTGTATGCATATTTGTATCTGTACAGCTGCGTTGTACATAACAGACGCATTTATAAGGATGCAATAGCAGTTTGATTCAATATGGCAGGAAGGACAGACAAACGTTGACCTTAATTCAGGCAGTTTATACGTCAGTTTACCGGAAATAAACCCGGAATTTGCTGCATTTTTACAACCCCCCCCCCCTGCTGTTCCCTCCCCTGAGCCTCAGATATACACAGTCCACCATTTTTGGCTCCACATGAACAATTTAAAATCTAAATAGTCATGAATCTTTTCAGGATCAGCTGTGAATATCATACAGTGTGTCACAGGCCGTTTCCTTAGAATTTCCCTTTCTGATTTCAATTCTTTTTTGAAGAGCGCTACACTTCCCCTCGCTCCAGTTTTGAGGCTTTCTTTGGGTACAGCTCTGGATTTCTCTGCATGCCCCACTTTAATAATGCATCGCTCCCAAGCACGCAGCTCTAAGCCGTCCCATATAGCAGCAGCGAGCGCAGTAATAACAGTCTTTCGCAGGCTTAAAGGGACATTACACCATGGAGTAACACATCTGTGAAGTGCAGCATGACCCAGAATACACAGTGGCAGAGAAGCGGGTCAGAGCCTTGTGTTAGTGTTTCTGATGCAGATCAATAGAAAATGTTATGTATTTAGAGTAAGCAAGGCAGGGATAATCTGCAAGATGGAACTTTTGATAACAATTTCCATGAAGACCGGATCTAAAGGGTATTATGGGTATCATTTAAAGTGGACCTATCATGCTATATTTGAATAACATAGTGTAGGACCATACCTATATAAGGCATATTTATACTTTTTTTTTTTCAAAATACCAAACAGATCATGCATTTTAGCCATGCCTCATTTTGCTCAATTTGACATTTTTTAGCTCTGTTTTTGCAAGGGCTGATTCTGTGAGAACAGCACCATCTACTGGCCTGGCATATGTACTACAGCGTCTCCAGCGCTTTCGAACGGCAATGGCCGTGGCTGTCTCCTGATTGGTGGAGTTGGCCCAATAGCCATAGCGCCACCGTCCTGACGTCAGGACAGTGTTCAAATCTGGATCAGTTTTTATCAGATCCGTTGCAGCCCCTTTTTTAGAGATTTGGGTATGGAGGAAAATAGAGAGGGTTGTGTTTTCTGACACTTGGTGAGTTCCCTGGAACACCGGGGACACATATTCATGTAGAAAAGACGTACAAAAGTGCATTTTGCATGATAGGTCCACTTTAAAGTAACAAAATGCTTCATGACTACACTTAACTTCACAACAACAATGAAATGTTGAGATGAAGCATGCTGTGGCTACATTTTTACTTTGGTATGTTTTTAAAAATATCTATTTATTTTATTCTAACATGGTGCAACTGTCACAAAACCTAATCCCCCCTCCTTGGGATTAATAAAGCATTTTGATTGACTGATTTATTGATTGATAATTGTAAATGCATCAGTATTGACTTATCGTTGTACATATAATGATACTGCATGGACTACTAAAGTATAATGTGTGATTTTTTTGTTAAATTTTGAATATAATTTCATTAATAACTTGTCAAAAACTACATTAGACACCTATAATTAATTATACGCATCAATAATGTTTATTGAGTTACTGAAAATGGAAAATATGATTGCTTTGATCAATGCGGTTGGTACAACACATTTCTGCAATAAAAATATTCTTAAAAAAAAAAAATAATGTTTATTGACCGTTGATATAGTGCATCGGAAAGCCTTCTGTGTTTGTTATGCATGGTTAGTATGGTCATAAAGAATTACAGATGCATTTTCATTCTTATGAATTTTCATAATTTACTGTAGATGTGGACAAAGTTATAAATTGGAGATCAGCAAAACAAGATTTCCAGCTTATATTAAATGTGTCTTCATAAACTGATTTTTAAAGTATGTTTTCACAACAAAATAGTCAATAGCAACATGGCAAGCAACCAGGCTTTCATTCAATCAAATAGTGTATTTAATGTAAAGAGAAGAAGAGAAATGCCAAATAATGACTTACCATCTGCCCTCTGAACTTGGGGATCAACTTGAATTATTACTTAAATTAATCTTAATGTTAACTCATATTTCTAGATGAACAAGTATATAATTGCATCTCAGTATTTTGGTAAACCGTTAACCTTAAAAACTTTAAGGGAACATCTACAACTTTGCAGTAATCCAACTCTTGGTCAAAGGTGGGAAAAGTACTCAGATCTTGTACTTGAGTAAAAGTAGAAGTACTCAGATCGTGTACTTGAGTAAAAGTAGAATTACTCAGATATTGTACTTGAGTAAAAGTAGAAGTACTCAGATCTTGTACTTGAGTAAAAGTAGAAGTACTTAGATCTTGTACTTGAGTAAAAGTAGAAGTACTCAGATCTTGTACTTGAGTAAGGGTAGAAGTACTCAGATCCTGTACTTGAGTAAAAGTCCTGCATTCAAAATGTTCCTCAAGTAAAAGTATAAAAGTATTATCATCAAAATATAGTGAAAGTAGCAACAGTAAAAGTAGTCGTTGTGCAGATTGGTCCATTTCAGAATAATATATATGATATGTTTTATAATGATTGATCATGAAAGTGTTCTCAAAGCTGGTAAAGGTGCAGCTAGTTTGAATGACTTTGTATACTGCAGGGTAGCTTGTGGATTTACTCCAGGTGGAACTAAAGTCTGATTTAACACTTGGTTATATTTCACATCATTCATCCACATCTGTGAAGTAACTAAAGGGATTAAATACATGTAGTGGAGTAAAAGTACACCATGTACCTCTGAACTGTAGTGGAGTAGAAGTACACAGTATCATGACATGGAAATACTCAAGTAAAGTACAAGCTCTTCCCACCTCTGCTCTTGGTGAACAACTTCCAGGTCGATGTTGTCCTCTAATTGTTGTTCCCTTGTTGTGATGTAATGGGTTTAATAAAAAGGTTCCTCACCCCTTCTCCCTCGTCTCCCACCTTCCAGTCCTCCTGCTCCAGCTCGTTGTAGAGCGCCTCTCGACTCGTCATCAGGTTCTGCCGCCGGATCTCGCTCGTCCGCTGCTCCCACACCGACTTGCCGCCCTTAATGTTGTTCTTCTGCTGCTCCTTACTGCGGGTGGAGACACAAAGATGGAGGGTAGAGGTGGAGGAACGTGAACATTAAAGGACTAAAACCACCAGACAGAGGGACAGTTTCATCCCACAGGCCATTAGACTGCTAAACACCTGCACTTTTGAAACAACATCCATAACATTCATCTGTTTGCTTCTCATATACATCAATATTCCAATTACTTGTATATTCTGCACTGTAGGAGGAGCCTGTGACCTCAGATCTTCATTGTCATAACTACACTGTAGCTATGACAATAAAAGCCTTAAAACCAACATTGGTAAAGGTAAACAAAATGGCAGATAGATAAGGGAAAGTATTAGAAATCAGCAGTAAGAGTAAGTACTAAAAACATCATTTTAAAATACTTCTTACTTACCTTGGATGCTTATTTATTTCATATTCAATTGATTAATTGGTATGTATGCATGTATTGTAGTCTACTCATTTTCTAAAACATTTGTTATCTACACTGTCCCCTTTGCTGTATTTATTTGAACAAGGACCATGCATACAAATACATTAAACTCAGAAAAGAGAACATTTATTTTATGTCAGATTTGAGCTAATAGCTAATTTCCATCTACAGCTTCCAGGTACATAACAAACAATAAACACTAAAATAATTGCAAGATAAAAGAACCGGTCAATGAAATATTACATAGTATAGTTAAAATATAATATTACGATACAATTACAATTGAAAAACTCTGATTACAGTGTAATTAAAGTTGGCAATATCCTTTTTTTGTTTGCACCATGAGAGAAAGAGTGAAAGTCTGTGCAGGTTTTAAACTCATCTGGAAGAATATTCTGTAACATTGTAGATGTTGCCGCTGTGGGACAAATAAACGACGTCTGATTTCAGATCGATACGAAAGGAAATGACTTCAGTAGAAGACAGAATAAGGCACATTTGGCTATAAAAGTATAACTGCAATTTCAACGTGTGATTGAACAAAATCTGAAGTGAGAAATCGAACAATGACATCCATAGAGATCCAAAACCAGCAGCAGCAGTGCAAACAACATGCAGTGTGTTCACATTGAATATGGATGACACTGTCCTCTAATTAAAAGTTGTACATGTGTGAGTAGGATAATGTTTCAGATATTACATTTGGAAAAGTGGGATATTTTTTATATTTCAGAACCATACATTACAAAAAAAAATGTTCACAAGTGTCTTTTATACATAACATTACATAACATCTCCTCTTGTGGTTCGATGGTCTTATTTTCCAGGGTGTGTTTAAACAAGTTTGCTGATTTCCCCGAAATTAACTACGCAATACTTGCAAATAGTGCACGTGTTACTTGCGCCAAAGTGACGGCAGGATATAGAAGGATACATTTTGCAGACTGCAATGTGAGTAACTAACCCTTGGCTCTAAGATATACATGTATTACTGAATCAACTATGTATAAGTGCTGTGATTGAAAGAAAGCATATGATTGACACGTCCTAATTGACAAGCAGAACTGCAGCACAAAAACCTGCAGCTTCTAATCTTGCGATCAAAGTCCGGAGACTTCTAAAGGAGCAGCGGGGTTTTTGTGAGCGGCGTTTTGAAGCGTCCCATTGTCAGCGTTTCTGCTGCCAGGAGCAGATTCTACAGCCTCTACACACAAAGAGCGAATCTGTGCCTTTCACTCGCAGAACAATCGCTTAATCATATTTTAGAGGATGAGAACGCGGGGAGAGTGTGATGGTGGGTGTGTGTGTGTGTGTGTCTGTGTGTCTGTGTGTCTGTGTGTGTGTGTGTGTGTGTGTGTGTGTGTGTGTGTGTGTGTGTGTGTGTGTGTGTGTGTGTGTGTGTGTGTGTGTGTGTGTGTGTGTGCTTGAATGCCTGCCAATCACAGTTGTTAGGAAAGACACAGTGTGTGTGCAATTATACAAATAACAGTGAGAAAGATAGACTTTTAACTTAGTCTCTCTTAAGGAGAATCTTAAGGAGAGTCTTAAGGTGTTTAGTCTCTCTTAAGGGGAATATTAAGGTGTTTGGTCTATCTTAAGGGGAATCTTAAGGTGTTTAGTCTCTCTTAAGGGGAATCTTAAGGTGTTTGGTCTATCTTAAGGGGAATCTTAAGGTGTTTAGTCTCTCTTAAGGAGAATCTTAAGGTAGTTGGTCTATCTTAAGGAGAATCTTAAGGTGTTTAGTCTCTCTTAATGGGAATCTTAAGATGTTTAGTCTATCTTAAGGAGAATCTTAAGGTGTTTAGTCTCTCTTAAGGAGAATCTTAAGGTGTTTAGTCTCTCTTAAGGGGAATATTAAGGTGTTTGGTCTATCTTAAGGGGAATCTTAAGGTGTTTAGTCTCTCTTAAGGGGAATCTTAAGGTGTTTGGTCTATCTTAAGGGGAATCTTAAGGTGTTTAGTCTCTCTTAAGGAGAATCTTAAGGTAGTTGGTCTATCTTAAGGAGAATCTTAAGGTGTTTAGTCTCTCTTAATGGGAATCTTAAGATGTTTAGTCTATCTTAAGGAGAATCTTAAGGTGTTTAGTCTCTCTTAAGGAGAATCTTAAGGTAGTTGGTCTCTCTTAAGGAGAATCTTAAGGTGTTTGGTCTCTCTTAAGGAGAATCTTAAGGTGTTTAGTCTCTCTTAAGGAGAATCTTAAGGTAGTTGGTCTCTCTTAAGGAGAATCTTAAGGTGTTTGGTCTCTCTTAAGGAGAATCTTAAGGTGTTTAGTCTCTCTTAAGGAGAATCTTAAGGTAGTTGGTCTCTCTTAAGGAGAATCTTAAGGTGTTTAGTCTCTCTTAAGGAGAATCTTAAGGTGTTTAGTCTCTCTTAAGGAGAATCTTAAGGTGTTTGGTCTCTCTTAAGGAGAATCTTAAGGTGTTTAGTCTCTCTTAAGGAGAATCTTAAGGTGTTTAGTCTCTCTTAAGGAGAATCTTAAGGTGTTTAGTGTCTCTTAAGGAGAATCTTAAGTGTGTTTGAATGCCTGCCAATCACAGTTGTTAGGAAAGACACCGTGCTTTCTGTATGTGTGCAATTCTACAAATAACAGTGAGAAAGAAACACTTTAGTCCAGAAGTGTGTGTGCATGAATGTGAAAATTAATTTTGATCTGTATTTGGTATTCAGATTACGTGTTGTATTTATGTATCATTTGTTTGTGTTTACTTTTTAATGAGTTTGTGTACTTACGCAGCGATAGACAGGTTGGCTGCTGACAGCGGGCTAACTTCTGCTACTTCCTTAGCCTTCTGCATAGCTGTCTTCTGATTGGCTGCTTCTTCCTGTTCTTCTTCGTCCTATTGGAGAAGAGAGTTAAGTGGCACAATATAAATAGATAAAACAACCAGAGGGAGAACATGAAAAAAGTCAAGTGATATCAATCAAATATAATATTAATTACTTATCATAGTTTTAAAAAAGAGCACATTTAATTCTGAGTCTTTGAGTTCCCTGTATGTACTCTAGCAAAGATTGTCCAATTTCAATAGAGGACACTTTCATATTTCAGGTAAAGGGGAACGTTTTTGACACAATTTAAAAACAGCATTTTCAACATTTCACAGATTAATCAAGGATTTACAATTAAAGTTCAAAACCTAGTGTCATGTCCTTTTTAGTAGATGTCCTCGAAGACATATTTGATAGGTTACAATATATTTAAGCTTGACTTTTCCCCCATAAAATAAGGTTTGAGAATGTATTTTGTTCTGGTTTGGTCCTCGATGGTTTGTACCTTGGTGAGCTCCTGGGCGTTGGCCAGATTGTCCACAGCGATGGCCAAGAAGACGTTGAGCAGAGTGTCTGAGGAGGCAGGAGTTAAGGAGGAATGTCGAGGGAAGGACAACTGGAAAGAGGAATCTGATGGTTCCTCAGGGAGTACGGAGAAAAACGGGGGGAAATAGATATTGGGCTGCTGATAAAAAAGAAAAGGAAAGACAGGAAGTGGAAATGTCTTCGGCAAAGTTTGAGAGCTCAAACAGACGGAACACAAAAATAATCATCTACATTTCATCATACGCTGTCTTTGTATTTACATGCATGCATATCGTCTGTGTATGTGTGTGTGTGTGTGTGTGTGTGTGTGTGTGTGTGTATGTGGCCAGGTGTGTGTCGTGTATGTGGGTGTGTGTGTGATGTGGTTGTGTGGGGTATGTGTGTGAGTGTGAGTGTGGGGTGTGGGTGTTTGTATGTGTGTGATGGTTGTGGGTAGCGTGTGATGTGGTGTGTGTGTGTACCGGCTGTGTGGATGTTGTGCATTGTGTGGTGTGTGTGGGTGTATGTGTGTGTGTGTGTGTGTATGGTGGGGTGTGTCGGGGTGTGTGAGTGTGTCTGTGTGTGTGTGTGTGTGTGTTATCGTGTGTATGTGTGGTGTATGTGGTGTGTGAGTATGGTGTGTGTGTGTGTGTGTGTTATGTGTGTGTGTGTATGTGTGTGTGGGGTGGTGGGGGTGTGGGGTGTGTGTGGTTTGTGTGTGATGTGTGTCGTGTGTTGTGTGTGTGTGTGGTGCTGTTTCGTGTATGTGTGTAGGTGGAGCTGGTGTGGGTTCGTGATGTGTGTGGGTGTGTGTGGGTGTGTGTGGGTGTGTGTGGGTGTGTGTACCAGAGGTTGCGCTAGACTTTTTCGCTGCCCGTAATTTTGACGGACAGGATCGTAAAATTTCCGTCAAAATCCAGAATTACCCGTCGGCCTTTACACAACTCTGACGAGGGGTGGGGGGGGGGAGAGCATGCTCGTGAACTGCCAACAGGGGGGGGGGGGGGGGTGCTGTGTTATGCATGCCCACTGCACCTCGCGGGAGCGCACACAGCGAAAAAAGCCAATTTCAATGATTTGTTCGGCAAAGTTTGGTTTGGAAACGGTATCATTTCCTTTTTGACGGGCATGCATAACACGGCATAACACCGGAGCCTCGCTGCGCGGAGACTTTGGCGCTGTTCCGAGTTTGTTCTAATCTGTCAAAATGAAGGACTGCTTTCAGATTTTTCCGTGATTGTTAAAAAAAAATTGCGTGTGAGCGTGCCGTTAGGATACAGTTGCCGAACAGTGTGAGGACGATGAAGAAGATGGAGAACACCATGCCCTGTTTTTTCACTCCACCCTGGGACTTGATGCCATCGTACATCACCATGTTCCAGTCCTCGCCCGTCAGGACCTGCACACACAAGGGAAATGAGATAAAGAGTTACAATCCTGCTGGTTTGATGTATTAAGGCTCAAATGTATTGTTATTTATTTAGGAAAAATCATGTTAATATGAAGTATAATTTGTTCTGCAAGCTTTTAGTAGTTTTCATCACATAGTCATTTGATTTTGAGTTGCATTTTCAAATCTTAATATTTAAGTTAAAATGTGAAAATATTATGAAATACATTGAAACGCCTGAATTTGTATCTTTATCTTCACACACACACACACACACACACACACACACACACCCCCCCACACCCACACACACACACACACACACACGCACGCACGCACACACACACACACACACACACACACACACACACACACACACACACACCACACACACACACACACACACACACACACACACACACACACACACACACACCACACACACACACACACACACACACACACACACACACACACACACACACACACACACACACACACACACACACACACACACACACACACACACACACACACACACACACACACACACACACACACACACAGCACAAATCAGCCATCAAATGTCTCTCTCCAAAAGAACTTCAGCTGTCCTCAAAACGAACATGAGTGTGTGTGTGAGTGTGTTTGTGTGAGTGTGTGTGAGTGTGTTTGAGTGTGTGTGAGTGTGTGTGTGTGTGTGTGTGTGTGAGTGTGTGTGAGTGTGTTTGAGTGTGTGTGAGTGTGTGTGTGTGTGTGTGTGTGTGAGTGTGTTTGAGTGTGTGTGAGTGTGCTTACAGCAGTCATGTTGGGAAAATACAACAACTCATGTCTGACTTTCAGCCTCAGTTGTGTCTCTTTCTCTCACCTGAAACACCGTCATGATGGCTGCTGCAAACGTGTCAAAGTTAGTGGACGGGGTTCCTTCATCAAAGTTGAATCTGAGAAGAAGAAGAAGAAAGAGGAACACCGTCACCATCACACGCGTAAAGATAGAAAGACACACAGATCTATTACAGAGCAATGAGTTTGGATATTAGGTTTGATACTGACTGTCCTCCAAACAGCTGCATCCCCAACAGGGCAAAGACCACGATGAAGAGGAAGAGCAGGAACAGCAGACTGACGATGGACTTCATGGAGCTCAGCAGAGAGACCACCAGGTTACGGAGAGGAGCCCAGTACCTGAGGAGGAAGAGGACGAAGAAGAGGAGAGGGATTAACGGAGGAACGAGAAGGAGATGAAGGAGAAGCAAAGAGATGGGAGAAAACAAATGAAAGAGAACAGAAAATAAACAACATTTGTAGAGATGGGGAATGTGAAATATAGTGTTTATTTCTTTGCATATTTCTTTGCATATGTTCCCAGAACCAAGTAACAAATCAAATAATTAAAAAAATGTGCCCATCTTGTTAAAGTATAAGAGAGTATTAGTATCAAAGCAGAGCCTGGTCACACTACAACAAACTCAGTCTGTCTCCATGAGCTTCAAATATGTTGTCAATTAATGGACATGCATGTAAGAGTGTGTGTGTGTGTCTGTGTGTGTGCGTGTGTGTGTGTGTCTGTGTGTCTGTGTGTCTGTGTGTCTGTGTGTGTGTGTGTGTGTGTGTGTGTGTGTGTGTGTGTGTGTGTGTGTGTGTCTGTGTGTCTGTGTGTCTGTGTGTGTGTGTGTGTGTGTGTGTGTGTGTGTGTGTGTGTGTGTGTGTGAGGAACTTACTTGGTGACTTTGAAGATGCGGAGCAGTCTCAGAGCTCGTAACACACTGATCCCGAAAGATGTCCCTGGTTTGATGGTGGCCCACACCACCTCGAAGATACTGCCCACAATGACCTGCACACACACACACACACACACACACACACATACGATGATAAAATAAACATAATCAGTATATATATATAAATATCAACAGTAAAGAAATATTTCATTTATGGATTTTCTTATTGGACAATATAAAGATCCATAATTAGTCAGTACACACGATACCAATCCAACCTGCTACTTAGGAAATATGAACACCAGATACTATGTTTACAGAACTTGGGTGTGAAGAAGTTGCAGTTTTCCAATTTAATTGCAATGATGTTTAAGTTTTGAAACAATGCACGAGTATTACCACATTTCAATATGTGCAGGTTTTTAGTTTAGGGTGCATTTCAACTTTTGCAAGTGCTTTGAGAATTTGTTTTGGAGGGTGTGTGTCAACAAAAGCTGCTACATTTTTGGAGGGAATTTTGTGGAAGTCTGTAAACATGGTATGAAATTATTTTATATATACCATTTTTAACGGCAGAAATTATATAATGGTCCTCTTAATAAACTTAAAATCTTCATAATGTTGATGTATTCATGTTATCACACGTAAACTAGGCTACAGTACACATGAGCTACATTTATAAAAACAACTGTACACTGCCCGTCTTAAATACAAATGACGGATATTTGCACACACACAAATAAATGTCACCATCTTGTAAACAGATTCTAAATAAACTCAACTTTCTCTGTCCAACTTTTTTCACAGGCACAGATTTGCACGTCTATAATTAACCCTCCTGTTGTCTTCTTCCCCCCCCCCCCTTACTTTGGTGTTCACGGTCAAATTTGACCGGTCCTGTTTTAACTGCTATTACATTAACACAAAAACCATGAATCATCACCAAATGTCATTTAACACCCTTTCAAACTGTACATATTGTATCAGACTACTGGTATACATGAACAACTGCAGTACATATACAAAGAACAGACACTGAATATGTATTGCGTGTGCCAGGTGTGATCCATGTGGGGGGATGGGCACATAAGAGCGGGACATGTGTCAAATTGTTCTGTGTGTGTGTGTGTGTGTGTGTGTGTGTGTGTGTGTGTGTGTGTGTGTGTGTGTGTGTGTGTGTGTGTGTGTGTGTGTGTGTGTGTGTGTGTGTGTGTGAACACCATGGGTGTTACAAAGTTGACTAAATCATCCAAAACTCAATGAAAGTGGTGATCAGCAATTGTATATGTTCAAATGTCTGTGAAGGATATCATAAAGCCTGAATGCAATCGAATGTAAAACTAAAAAGTTATGATTGATGAAAGTAGTACATCGGTCAGATTTGACGCGAAGACAACAGGAGGGTTAACTGAACATCCTGAAAACTCTAAATATAAGTTTTGGCTTTTTTGCGCAATGTTTAAAGTGGACCTATCATGCTATATTTGAATAATATAGTGTAGGACCATACCTATATAAGGCATATTTATACTTTTATATATTTTTTCAAAATACCAAACGCATTTTAGCCATGCCTCATTTCGCTCAATTTTTTATCCCTGTTTTAGCAAGGGCTGATTCTGTGAGAACAGCACCATCTACAGGCCTGGCATATGTACTACAGCGTCTCCAGCGCTTTCGAACGGCAATGTCCGTGGCTGTCTCCTCCTGATTGGTGGAGATGGCCCAATAGCTGTAGCGCCACCGTCCTGACGTCAGGACAGTGTTCAAATCTGGATCAGTTTTTATCAGATCCGTTGCAGCCCCTTTTTTAGAGATTTGGGTATGGAGGAAAATAGAGAGGGTTGTGTTTTCTGACACTTGGTGAGTTCCCTGGAACACCGGGGACACATATTCATGTAGAAAAGACGTACAAAAGTGCATTTTGCATGATAGGTCCCCTTTAAGCAATAAGAATTGTAGTAAATCCAAATTAGCTCCATGTAGTGCATGTCAACATATAATAGGAAAGAACCAGCCAATAAGCCACTGCAACTATGTCAGCATTATGCAATGATCAGAGTCAGCTCATTGTTCATTTGTAGCAGCAACACCAGAAAATCTATTTCTCAGATCTGTTCATTAAATGGAGTGTTGGGTTTGTCATTAAAACCTGATCGTTATGAGTGCATAGAGTGTGAGTGTGAGTGTGAGTGTGAGTGTGAGTGTGAGCGTGAGTGTGTGTGTGTGTGTGTGTGTGTGTGTGTGTGTGTGTGTGTGTGTGTGTGTGTGTGTGTGTGTGTGTGTGCGCTCACCACACAGTCGAAGCAATTGAAGGAGGAGTGCAGGTACGGCTGCAGACCCAGACCGTAAATCTTGATTCCCATCTCAGACATGAACAACGCCAGGAAGATAAACTCTGCATAGACTGGAGGGGGGAGAGAGGGCGGACGAAACAAGGGAGGGAGGGAGGGGAACATGAGAGGAAAGGAAGGAGGGAGGATAACGAGGGAAGGAAACGAGGAAGTGAAGAGAAAGACAGAGGAAATTAGGAAAGGAGAGGGGAAAGAGGAAGAGATAAGAAGTGGAGAGAGGAAGCATTGAGAGATAAGGAAAGTAAGGAAGAAAGATGGAGGGGTATAAGGGAAGGAAGAGAGAGAAGGAGGAAGGAATAAGAAATAGAAAAGTATAGGAGAGAGAAAGAGAGAGAGAGAGAGAGAGAGAGAGAGAGAGAGAGAGAGAGAGAGAGAGAGAGAGAGAGAGAGAGAGAGAGAGTTAGGTGAGTGGAAGTCAATAGTGGGGGAGTCCAGCGGGGGATGACAGGCTGCTGATGAATGGACTCCATCAGCAGCTACAGCCTCATATGCTAATGCCACTGGACCCCAATGTGTGTGTGTGTGTGTGTGTGTGTGTGTGTGTGTGTGTGTGTGTGTGTGTGTGTGTGTCTACTAGACTAAAGAATGAAATATATCACTGTTGTCATTGATGCGGGTGAGTAGTTACAACCCGTTGCAAAGTCTTTCTGTTCTTGCTTTAGTTGTAAATTGTTTAAAAAACGCTCATGCTGTATTCTCTGTGCACATCACGAGAACAGATAAAGGTGTGTTTGCCTCATACTTCAAAGGTAGGCATGACATGGTGTACATGAGTCGAAGCTCCACCCACTATACCCAGAGACTCCAGTAAGAGATCACATGCTGGACGTAAATGTGATTGGAGAAGCGTGGTACCCTTATGCTTATAGAATAGGGTTACGATATGTAACAGCTAGCAGTTGATGTATGAATTCAGACATTCATGTTTTTTTCTCCAACCAAAAATATTTAGAGCTGGTAAGGGTGTGAGTGTGTCACATGTTTACTTACAGAGAAAGTCAGAGAGCTCGTCAGGCTGGTTGTAGTGCACCGCGGCCACACACATGGTGTTGAGGCCCACCAGGCAGAGCACCGTCCAATAGAAAGTCTGAGTCTTCACCATCTTGCGGATGAAGAATCGAAATCGTCGCTCCTTTGTATTGTAATTAGGGTCGTCTAATGCCCCGTTCTTTATACTGGAGCGTGCGAAACCTGGAGGGGGAGGCACGGACCGTATACAGTTCAATCTGAAGATACCCATGGACCCATCTGTCTAAGCCTTTTAATGAAACCTCCATGGTTCCAGCATTTTCATGTCTAGAAATAGTTTCTATTCCACCATCAACACCAACACTATCCAGGACATAAAGCTTAACATTGACATAATAAGACAAAAGGTTCATTTGGCCTATTAGTTTAATATGTGGCTGCTAATCACTGTAGATATACCAACATGTAACAAGTGCCTCAGTTTGCTTTAAAAAGAACAGAAACGTCTCACCTGAACACAACCCACTCCAGAGTTGAAACTGATGGTGTGTGTAAACTCTGAAATAAGTTTCTATCCCCACATCTCACTCTGTTTTTCTTACCTACTGCATCCCCCATGTTGTCCTCTCCCTCCTCAGGGTTCAGCAGCTCTGTCTTGTTGTTTTTGGTTTTGATGGTCGGCCTTCGCCTCGTTCCTATCAAAGAGAAACATAGAGAATAGCGTCTTCATCAGTTTGTTTAAAACATATTATTCTGTTTGTCACTTGTAGGCAGAGGTGGGGACTCGAGTCACATGACTTGACTCGAGTCAGACTCGAGTCGCATATTTTTTGACTTGAGACTTGCTTGACTAACATTGATAAAAGACTTGACTTGACTTTGACTTGGTATTCATGACTTGAGACTTGACTTAAGCTTGAGACAGATGACTTGAAAGGACTTGACTGTTTAAAATTAAATATTTGCGTTTGTTTTTGTAGTGAGATATTACGTTTAGTTTTTTCGAAAAACGTGATTGGGTGATTATAGCTGTTGTGATGATAAACTGAAGCAATTTCAAAATTAACCCAATTAAGTGAGTTTTAAATCGTCCTACTTAGTTTATAAGGAAATTATGAAGAGAAACAAATTAAATGATTTAAAAATGATATCTCTGTAGGTGCTGACGCTGTTGGCGGTTCTAGTGTTAACAGAAATCTAAATTAAATATGTGTAATGGCAAATGCCATATATGATTTTCTTACCTGGAATTCTGCCTTTTTGAACAGACTTTTTGACTGAGTCCTAGCTATATTGTCTGCAGTTCTAGGGTTAATATGAATCTAATATGATTGTCATGGGTCTAAATTAGATTTCAAATGATTAACTGTGTATGTAATGAAGATCATAGTGTGGGTTAAATCCATTTTCATAACCACTGTCTTTTAACTGATTTAAATGCGGAAACTGGGCTAATTCATCAGAATTTCGTATGACTTGCTTGACTCTCACCACAGTGACTTGGGACTTGCTTGATACTTGTAGGTCAAGACTTGAGACTTGCTCATGACTTGCACATGTAGGACTTACTCCCACCTCTGCTTGTAGCTGTTTCATGCTAAACCCAACATTTAACTGAGCAATTCTGGCTGACTTAACTGTGGGTAGAATATGCAAATAAACCCTGTTTGACTTTCCAAATAAACCCTGTTTGACTTTTGTTCAAACTTCAGATTGTTCTTCTGCTGTTTTTGTATGAAACCCTTTCTTACTAAGGCAAGGATCAGATAGTCATGGCTCCTTGTGTGAGCCAGATTACAGTGCGGAGGAAGAATAATGCCTTGCCAACCAACCAGTGACGATAACAGTGCAACGACCCCAATGCATTGTGGTAGTTGTAGGTTTTTAACCACTTAAACAATAAAACTGTTTTGTTCCTGGTCACGTAGCACCAATTTCAAACATATTTGCGCATTTCTACACCGTATGCAGCCCATATTAATAAGCAGCCCATCTCTCCAGCGGTGATTAGCATTGCTAGCTAAAGACAATGCTAACATATGTACCAAACCAGCCAATTAAAGAGCACGTTCAGATTTGTAGTCATACAATAAGTATCAAGTCTTTTTCTGCTGTTATATTTCTACAAATTGAACGTCTTCTTAAAATAAATGTTTTTTTGATTTCCCATATCTCCATGTATATCCGTCTTGATACTGTTTGAACATTTTATTCTGTCTCACTTAAAGTAAACAAACACAATAAAAAAATGATGGTTAGTTACCATCAAAGTTCCCAGGGACGTCATCGTCAGCCAGGATGACTTCTTCTGAACATAAGGGGAATAAGACGTCAATACACCGCATTTCTATTCAGTTGTTTTTCTACAATGAGCAGTGTGTGTGTGTGTGTGTGTGTGTGTGTGTGTGTGTGTGTGTGTGTGTGTGTGTGTGTGTGTGTGTGTGTGTGTGTGTGTGTGTGTGTGTGTGTGCCTTGACCTGCTTTGCAGATCCACTCCAGGTATCCGTTGAGCTCTCTCTCAATCTGCTGCTGTCTCCTCAGCTTTAGGAACTCGCTCCGGTTCTCCACCCGCTCTCTCTCTTTGGCAAATTCACTGTTGGACAGGATTTTCAGTATTACATTTAGCTCCTTTCAATCAAACAAAACATCACACATAAACAATCCAGAGCGTAGAGAAGTATGCACTACAATACTTCATTACTGAAGTACATCTTTCTGGTATCAGTACTTTACTCCACTACTTATTTTTTACTTTTACAAATACCTGTACTTTCTACTTCTTACATGTTGAACTCAAATACCTGTACTTTCTACTTCTTACATTTTGAACACAAATACCTGTACTTTCTACTTCTTACATGTTGAACACAAATACCTGTACTTTCTACTTCTTACATGTTGAACTCAAATACCTGTACTTTCTACTTCTTACATGTTGAACTCAAATACCTGTACTTTCTACTTCTCACATTTTGAACACAAATACCTGTACTTTCTACTTCTTACATGTTGAACACAAATACCTGTACTTTCTACTTCTTACATTTTGAACACAAATACCTGTACTTTCTACTTCTTACATTTTGAACACAAATACCTGTACTTTCTACTTCTTACATTTTGAACCCAAATACCTGTACTTTCTACTTCTTACATTTTGAACACAAATACCTGTACTTTCTACTTCTTACATTTTGAACACAAATACCTGTACTTTCTACTTCTTACATTTTGAACTCAAATACCTGTACTTTCTACTTCTTACATGTTGAACACAAATACCTGTACTTTCTACTTCTTACATGTTGAACACAAATACCTGTACTTTCTACTTCTTACATTTTGAACCCAAATACCTGTACTTTCTACTTCTTACATGTTGAACACAAATACCTGTACTTTCTACTTCTTACATGTTGAACACAAATACCTGTACTTTCTACTTCTTACATGTTGAACACAAATACCTGTACTTTCTACTTCTTACATGTTGAACACAAATACTTGTACTTTCTACTTCTCTCATTTCCCAAACAGGCTGGTTCCTTTAGTTTGAATGTGTGTTTGGTGGCGTGATCATTATTATTTAGAGTCATTGCGTGCCTATTGATTTGAACACGATCCGTGTATCCATCATTTCCTGGTCTTCTCTAAAGAAGAGGGACCAATGAAAACGTTGTCATGTTGCCGTTGTTCAGCATGGAAACATTCATGAGCTAACAATGACATTATTGTTCTATTAATATAAAGGGAGGTCAGGTACTCTTTAAAACAGCTGCTAGTTATGGGTACTTTTTACTGAAGTACATTTCAAAGCCCTCTTTACTTTTACTTGAGTAAAGAAGTTTAGTCAGTACTTCTACTTTCACCAGAGTATTTTTAAACACGAGTATCCGTACTTCTACTTGAGTAAAGGATGTGTGTACTTTTGCCATCTCTGGTTATATATGGGAAGACATTTTGAAAATGAGGTGAAGTGTCGTACCCTGAGAGTACACCCAGCACCAGGTTGAGCATGAAGAAGGAGCCGATGATGATGAGGGGGATGTAGTACATCCAGTTCCAGGTACTGCCCCCTACATCATTACTCTGCAGGGGGGAAAGAGAGACAGAGGTATTAGTGGTCATCTAAAATGTAAAATGGGATTTCAATGAAGACTTTTGACAACCTGAACGTCCTGAAATTCTTCACTTGTAATGAACCTTCGCTCTACTTCTACACAGACTCTTTTCCTCTTAGTTTTAGTATGTTATCTATGATATGCACGGACTACACCTCAGTATAAAACAGTCTTGGTGAGGGTTCATTACTTCATGCTTTTAGCTCTAAATACTTCCTGTACCAAAGTCACGAGAACCCATACTTCAGTATCAATGTCAATCAATGCTAACATTCTGTAAAGGTGATGGTACATAACTTAATTGTCTTCAGTGTGTAAGAACTCTATTATGTTCTCTGATAATGCTACATTGATAACAACACATCCATGTTCAGCAAGAAGATCATTAAAGTCAGCTGTTAGCAGCCTGAAGGCAGCACAGTCCTGCTTAGCTACTGTAGATTATAAATGCTAACGCAGTTTCTATTTAGTTCAGTAAAAATTAGTAGTACAATAAGTTAAATTGGCATTGTTTAAATGTGAGGTAAGAAGCTTGATCTATTTGTGGATGTAAGAACATGTTTTCAAAGCAATCTAACATGGACTTGTGACGGCCCCAGAGCCTGTGGCCTGTGAGTGTGCAGGTGTGTTGCAGGTGCTGTGTTGGGGGTGGAGCTGAGGAGGCCAATCAGCATGACTGGGGACACCTGGCCGGAGCCGAGGTGCTACTTAAAGGTAGGGTAGGTAAGTTTGAGAAACCAGCTCGAGATCGCTAGAATTTGAAAATACACAACCGGAGAAAATCTGCCACTTCCTTACAGAGCCCCTCCTCCAACACGAACGCGCACATGACCAATGAGGGCACCAGATAAGTTTGTGCACAGATGGAAGGCTGACAGGCAGGTAGGCCATCCAGTTATTTTAGCCGGGCCGGCTCAGATGATTGGTCGTGCTTTTTACAGTACTACGGCTTCCACAGATGACATTTTTTAATGTATTTTTTGTCAAAGCACTTAAGATATTCATTGCTATCGGGATGTTAAGAGCATTCCATGGAATATAACAAAAAGTGTATCTCGAGCCGGTTTCTCAAACTTACCTACCCTACCTTTAAGCCCAGCTGCCCGGAGACTTTACAGAACTATGATGTATTTAACTTCCAAACAAAACTCAATATGCAAACTGTAATATAGTAGTACATGTTGATTCTTTTTCTCACCAAAATACAATTTATATCTTTGAATTCTAACAAAATGTGTTGAATGCATTTTCTTTCGTGTAAAACACGTTCACGGCAGATTTTTTAAAACTGTCTGCGTGCTAACGTCTTCTAGTTTTCAACTTGATCTGTACTGCACAGCAACCAAGGAGATAAGATAAGATACTGTAAGAGGTATTTATTGATCCCAAATTGGGAAATGTTTGCGTTGCAGTAGCATAAAAAACTAAAACAAGTCATTGTTAAACATTAAACATCTCAAAATAGAATTAAAACAGCATTACAAAGTAGAAAATATAAAGAAGACTGTGAAGATAACAAATTTAAGATTCAACTTATTGTCATTACGTAGTACGGGTGCTATGTAACGACACGGTTTCTCTGCATTTGACCCATCCTAGTGTTAGGAGCAGTGGGCTGCCACTATGTACGGCGCCCGGGGAGCAGTGTAGGGAACGGTGCCTTGCTCAGGGACACCTCGGTAGCACTTGGTCTTTCCAGGACTTGAACTGGTGACCTTCCAGTTGCCAAGCCAAGTCCCTATGGACTTCACCACCACCACCAAATCTATGAACTCTGACAATAAAACACTATTGAAGGGAACTATATGTATAATGCTGGATTAGGGTTAAGGTTATAATGGTTCAGGAGAGAGCGAGGCGTCTGGAGAGCAGGTCAACAGCAACAACATGGACTGACACCGTGTCACTTCCTTTACTGAACACAGCCAGCTGACGATCAGAGACATCAGGTGACTGCAGGGTGTAGTGTGTGAATGGGACTCAGCTGATTATGATCTGCTGCTGGAGTGCTGTGTGCAGGGTTTGATCCTGCATGGTACAGTGCAAGCAGCCTGTTCTCTATTAAACTTTCATTGGTTTCCTCCTGACTGCCTGTGTGAGTGTGGAAGTCAGCCTCCATCCATCAGAAAAGATGTTAAATATAGAGCGAGACGGACCAGAATAGAGAGTGGAAGAGAAGGAGGCGGAGGGAGAGCCACTCGGAAAGGCAGGAAAAGGACAGAGGAGATAAAGGAAGTCAAACAGAGAGCGATAAAGGGAGAGAAGGACGCAAAATAGCTTTTGGACAGACAAATGGTGTGCCCACCTGCCCCTCGAGTCCTCAGGAAACTAAATACCCTAAACAAGGAATGCACAATATGGAGATTTCTTTTTTTACAGCTGATACTGATTAGCGATAATTTCTTGATACAGATGAAAAAACAACAGATTATTATTACACATCATTTGTGTTCTAAAATGAAATAATAACATGTATTTTATGCACCTGGGGGTTAGCAACTCTAAGATGTAGGCAGCAAATATAGATTATTTAATATTCAAAAGCTCTGACCGAACCGAACTGAAATTATGACAAAACAAGTTCCAACTTTTTAGTTTTTTGATTAAATACCTCCTTTACTATCAATGGCCAATACATGTTTGGTTTGGTGTGTGTGTGTGTGTGTGTGTGTGTGTGTGTGTGTGTGTGTGTGTGTGTGTGTGTGTGTGTGTGTGTGTGTGTGTGTGTGTGTGTGTGTGTGTTGTGTGTGTGTGTGTGTGTGTGTGTGTGTGTGTGTGTTGTGTGTGTGTGTGTTGGTGTGTGTGTGTGTGTGTGTGTGTGTGTGTGTGTGTGGTGTGTGTGTGTGTGTGTGTGTGTGTGTGTGTGTGTGTGTGTGTGTGTGTGTGTGTGTGTGTGTGTGTGTGTGTGTGTGTGTGTGTGTGTTTTATCTGATCCGGATGGTTACTAATTCCTTTTCTTTATGGCGGTCATTACACCATGGGTGACTAAATCATCCAAAATGCAATGCAAGTGGTGATCAGCAATATTATATGTTCAAATGTCTGTGAAGGATATCATAAAGCCTTAATGCAATCGAATGTAAAACAAAAAAGTTATCATTGATGAAAGTAGTAAATCGGTCAGATTTGACCCGAAGACAACAGGAGGGTTAAAGGTGCCTCCTGTCACCTACTGTATCTGTAAATGAAAGCAATTTGGCATTGTATAATCAGCTGACAATTTCTTACTACCTAAATATATTTGGCAACCCATGCCACAACCACAACTATGAATTGATACATTATCCAACTGAGAGAAAAGTGACCAGATTGGTGGTTTACGAGGAATAACTAGCAACCAATATGTGTCCTAGTTCTGGCCTTTTCTTAGATTAAACTGTATGCACAAAGCTGCGTTCAGACCAACAACAACAATGCTTCAAAAACAATCGTTCTCATTTGGTTCAATGAGGCCATAGCGGGCTTTTTTCTTAACAAACTAAGCTTTTAGGGTTTTTCCTTGGTCTATTTTTCTATGTGGCTACTTGGTTAGCGTTTCTTCCTAAAACACCTCTCTGATCTTGATTGAAAGAGACACAAATCTGTATGTTAGGATCAGTTCAGCCAAGTCTGTTGAGCATTGTTAACTATTTGTATCATAATCAAAAGACACTGCAAAGCACACTCTTATTCGTTCACTGTATTTACAAGAATTATATTTACTGTATATGAAGCCTCTTTGTAACTAATTTTGAGAGTTGTTCATGGCGATACATAGGTCAAGGCATGTTAATCTTATAAATACGATGTACATTTTCTCATTTGTATTTCTATTTTGAAATGTTTACATTTTAGAATTGTTTATTTCTATTCTTAAAGGTGGGGTAGTTAAGTTGGAGAAACCGGCTCGAGATACACTTGTTGTTATATTCCATGGAATGCTCTTAACATCCCGATAGCAATGAATATCTGAAGTGCTTTGACAAAAGATCCATAAAAAAATATCATCTGTGGAAGCCGTAATACTGTAAAAAGCACGACCAATCATCTGAGCCGGCCCGGCTAAAATAACTGGATGGCCTACCTGCCTGTCAGCCTTCCATCTGTGCACAAACTTATCTCGTGCCCTCATTGGTCATGTGCGCGTTCGTGTGTGTTGGAGGAGGGGCTCTGTAAGGAAGTGGCAGATTTTTTCCGGCTGTGTATTTTCAAATTCTAGCGATCTCAAGCCGGTTTCTCCAAAATTACCTACCCCACCTTTAATCTCTCTTATGTACAATGCCTTGTTTTTATGCTGCTGCTGCTGCAATGCAATAATTCCCCAAATTGGGATCAATAAAGTACATCTTACAGGGTTCATACACTTTTTCACCAATGCTTCTCCATGACTTCTCCATGACCTTTACCTAATTTTCCATGACCAAAAAAATGACTCTTTCTCAGCGGTACCACTGAAAATGGTTTATTTTAACATGGAACAGGAAAATCAGGTCTGCATATGAAACATGTTGTGCCTATCTAAAACAAATAGGCTTACTAGCTTCTACAGGCTAAAGCAACTAAAATCTCTCACCAGCAAAATACCTCGACAGTTAAATGCCATTTTACGTTTCATTACTATACCATACAGTATTTATTATCATTATAGTATTACTATTTCGGCGATTGGCTAAAATATAAATTATATTTGATGCAACTTTAGTTACATTTCCATGACTTTTCCAAAACTTTGGGAAAAATATTGTTTTCCATAACTTTTCCAGGGCCTGGAATTAGCATTTTGAATTTCCATGACTTTTCCAGGTTTTTAATGACCGTAAGAACCCTGATCTTATCTTATCTTGATCTTATCTATTTACGCTGCTACGGACAATCTGCAATAAATGCACATTTTATGGACAATCTTGCACAGAAGTTATTGATATTGAAGTGACTGTGTTTTTTATTACCTTAATGTTTTTATACATATCTGTATTACTGTATAATTTTACGTTCGGGATTGTTGGAAACGTCATTTTTGAAAGTTGACTTTCAAAGCCCAAATACAATCTTGAGTAAAGATTTCTGAAGGACTTCTGCGTTTTACTAAGTATTACACTTTATTTGTTCAAGTCAATTACGGCACATTGAGGGTACGTGGGGTGCCTTAGTTACCTATTTCATTATTGCACTATTTCACTATTTTCTTTTTTGTATTTACTTGCACAATTGTTTCGGTTTTTCTGTTTTATTGTGTTGCTCTGTTGGAGGAGTCTGTGACCTAAGATTTTCCTCGTCATAACTACACTATAGCTATGTACGTATGACTAATAAAAGCCTTGAACCTTGAGGTGTGGCGCCTGAGACTTGATGTTGTACTGTAAACCAAACTACATGTTTTGAAAAGTCAAAAAGGCAAGGTGGGTCTCATTCATCAGGCTAACTCACATAGTAGAGCATGTCTGTCCACCCCTCCATGGTGATGCACTGGAAGACGGTGAGCACGGCGAACAGGATGTTGTCGAATTGCGTGATGCCGTAGTTGGGACCGATCCAGCCAGGTGAACAAATCGTGCCGTTCTTACACAGTCTCGACGGCAACTCATCCCCGCACGGCCGATTGTCTATTTCTTCGCCTGATCAAAGACAGAAGAATCCACCGTTACATAAAGCAACTCCATAAATCATTTAGCAGATGTTGTAACTCAAATCTAAGCATCTTATAAAACATATTATTATATGATATATTATAATACGTACTAAAGTTTTCTTGTTTCATTAAAAATCAACACAGTCTTTTATTTCATTATCATTTGAATTGTGTTTTTTGTGCCGAATTTTTGTCCACTTTAGAAGAGAACACACAATTACGTTTTTTTGTATTATTCTTTTTACTTTAGGGGCGGGACATCTATAACGTATGTGCAATATGTGCAATATATATGCCGTTAAAAACTGTGCAATATATACCTGGCTGCTAAATCCTCAGAACTGTTACAGGATGTGTATTTTTTGTAAAATGTGTAACTTCTTATTTTTAATTCCCTTCTTTTATCTTTAGTACTTTTTTGTATGCATGCTTAGGTAACATTAAAGGGGACCTATCATGCAAAATGCACTTTTTGATGTCTTTTATACATCAATATGTGTCCCCGGTGTTTCAGGGAACTCATGCAGCGTCAGAAAATAAAACCCTCTCTTTTCCTCCGTACCCACATCTTTTAAAAACGGGGCTACAACGGAGCTGATCCAGATTTGCTGCCGATATGACGTAATTTCCGATGGTGGACCCACAGAAAGTTGCTATCAGAAACAATGCCTGACGTGTTTTGGACGTAATCTCGTCTTTGTTTGCATTAGCATGCCTCACTAACATTCAGAGCTAACCTGTACTGGAGAGCACATGTGTTTAAAATGCAGGAAATAAAAAAAGGAACTCACCTTGTGCTAAACCTGCAAGAGAAAAAACATTTGAGCTCCATATACTGTTTCAGAAATAATCCTTGATATGGTTTAGAACAGGATGGCGTTTTATCACAGCAGAATTTAACTTTATCTCCGGTACATTTACATTACATTGCATTTAGCTGACACTTTTATCCAAAGCGACTTACAATAAGTGCATTCGACCAAGAACTACAAACTACAAACTTGAAGAAAACAGAATCATATAAGTACATCAGGTTTCAGAGAGCTAAAACATTTCAAGTGCTACGCAACTGGCTTTAGATAAGCCAGTCCTTATTAGTATGTAAGTGCTTTGTTAGTAATTGTATTGCTCGAAGTGGAGTCGAAAGAGATGAGTTTTCAGTCTGCCCCGGAAGGTGTGTAAGCTTTCTGCTGTCCTGATTTCAATGGGGAGCTCATTCCACCATTTTGGAGCCAGGATAGCAAACCCACGTGTTTTTGCTGATGGGAACTTGGGTCCCCCTCGCAGTGCGGGTGCAGCGAGCCGTTTGGCCGATGCAGAGCGGAGTGCACGTGCTGGGGTGTATGGTTTAACCATGTCCTGGATGTAGGAAGGGCCAGATCCATTCACAGCATGGTACGCTAGTACCAGTGTCTTGAAGTGGATTCTAGCAGTTACTGGAAGCCAGTGAAGGGAGCGGAGGAGCGGTGTGGTGTGGGAACATTTTGGAAGGTTGAAGACCAGATGAGCGGCTGCATTCGGCCCAGACCCTAGGGTTTTTTAAATCCACTCTAAAAACACACTTCTTCTCTCTGGCCTTCTAGTTAGAGCGGAGCACGACTCCTAACTTTTCCTTGTGTTTTTATTTTAATTTTGTTTTTTATATATATCTGTTGTAATTTATTGTCGTTTATTGTGATTGTAGTAATGTGTTTTTATTACATGTACAGCACTTTGGCTCGACCAAAAATCGCTTTTAAATGTGCTATATAAATAAAACCTGATTTGATTTGATTTGATTCTGGATGAGCTGCAGAGGTCGGATGGCACATGCAGGTAGACCAGCCAGGAGGGAGTTGCAGTAGTCAAGGCGTGAGATGACGAGAGCCTGGACCAGAAGTTGCGTCGCTTTCTGGGTCAGAGGGGACGTATCCTCCTGATGTTGTAAAGAGTGTATCTGCAGCAGCGGGTTGTGGCAGCGATGTTTGCAGTGAAGGACAGGTTGTTATCTAGGGTCACACCCAGATTCCTTGCAGTCTGAGTCGGGGAAACAACAGAGGGGCCGATGTTGATTGTTAGGTCAAGAGTGGGACAATCTTTTCCAGGAAGAAAAAGCAGTTCAGTCTTGTCAAGGTTGAGCTCGAGGTGGTGAGCAGACATCCACTGAGAGATGTCTGCTCGACAAGCAGAGATGCGTGCGACGACCTGGGTTTCTGAGCGGGGACAGGACAGAATTAATTGGGTGTCGTCAGCGTAGCAGTGGTATGAAAAACCATGCGGGCTAATGACTGATCCGAGCGAGTTTGTGTACAGAGAGAAGAGGAGGGGACCAAGAACAGAGCCCTGAGGGACCCCTGTAGTTAATTGACAAGGGTCAGACTCTGACCCTCTCCAAGTTACCCTGTAGGTGTGGTCTTTGAGGTATGAGGTGAGGAGGGAAAGTGCAGAGCCTGAAACTCCAAGTTCTTGGAGAGTGCGAAGGAGGATCTGATGGTTCACCGTGTCGAATGCAGCAGACAGGTCCAAAAGGATAGAATTCTGATCAGGCATTAGCTCCGCCTCCTCTTTTTTTTTTTTTAAGCTAAGGACCTATGAGCAGTATGAGGCATGGCTACAATGGGTGATCTGTTTGGTATTTTAAGCAAAAAAACTTCACAGACATGTTTTGTATAGGTATGGCCCTACAATATATGTTTCCATTATAGGATAATAGGTCCACTTTAAGCTGTCTTTGGCTCTTTTCTGCTGTAACAATGTAAATGTCCCCTTTTTTGGACTAATAAAGGGATTCTGATTCTGATATACACTTTTTGACAGTTTACACAGACTTAAGTGTTTTTTTGAGTGGTTGTGTAAAAAGACTGTATGGAGCCTTGTGTATAAGTAACTATAGTATCTGTGATAAACAAACCTGATTGGGGCACCTTTCTTTACACTATAGTATCCAGTAAAAGCATACCAAAGCAATGCGTTTTAGTATGGATGCAGTAACCAGAAGAAGACCTTAGTGAGAGCCTTACAAGGCAGAACGTATAAAAGTTAGCGCTGAGCTTCAGTCTGCAATGTTCAAAACAACAGATAAAGCCAGAAATCTAGGTGTAGTCATGGACTCTGACCTGAGTTTCAACAGTCACATTAAAACAGTTACTAAATCAGCCTACTATCACCTAAAGAACATATCTAGGATTAAAAGACTAATGTCACAGCAGGATTTGGAAAAACTTGTCCATGCTTTTATCTTCAGTAGACTCGACTACTGCAATGGTGTCTTCACAGGTCTCACTAAAAAATCTATTAGAAAGCTGCAGCTAATTCAGAACGCCGCTGCTCGAGTCCTCACTAACACTAAGAAAGTGGATCACATCACTGCTGTTCTGAAGTCCTTACACTGGCTTCCTGTGTGTCAAAGAATAGATTTCAAAATACTGCTGCTGGTTTATAAAGCTTTGAATGGTTTAGGCCCAAAATACATGTCTGACCTCCTGCTAAATTATGAACCATCCAGAACCCTCAGGTCTTCAGGGACTGGTCAGCTTTCTGTCCCCAGAGTCAGAACTAAACATGGAGAAGCAGCGTTCAGTTATTATGCTCCAAATATCTGGAACAAACTCCCAGAAACCTGCAGGTCCGCTGCAACTCTTACTACTTTTAAATCCAGGCTGAAGACTTTTCTTTTTGCCGCTGCTTTTAATTGAACTATTCACATCTTAAACTGCACTGTAACTTTTAACTTTTATGCATGTATTTTTTCTTTAATGTTTATTTATTATCTTTTCTTTTTAATGACTGATTTTAAATGCCATTTTCATAATGTCTTCCATTTTTGTAAAGCACTTTGAATTGCCTTGTGTTGAAAGGTGCTATATAAATAAACTTGCCTTGCCTTGCCTTGCCTTACAAAACACATTTCAGCCGTGTTTGTCTTACTTGATGATTTCTCATAGCAGGTTTTGTGGAACTGTCCCATGTAGAACTCCAGGCCGATGATGGCGAACATAAGTATGGCCACGAACAGCAGCAGGCCGATCTGCAGCAGCGGAATCATCGCCTTCATAATGGACTTGAGCACCACCTGCAGGCCTGGAGGACACAAACAGAAGACATGCTTGAAGGTCCCCTATCATACTGTTTTTCATCAATATATTACAGGTCTCAGATATATACAAAACATGTCTCTGAAGTGTTTGGCTCCAAACACCAAACAGATCATTGCAGCATTACCCATAATCCCCTCTGTTTTCAGCCCTGTTTCCAAAGTGCTGATTCTCTGTCTGTTACTTCAGATGAAAATAAGGAGCCCCTCCCCACGCCCCTCTGAGAGAGATTTGGTTACAAAGAACACAATGGTGCTCTAGGAGGAGATTCAGGTGATAAGGTGGGGGGGGGGGGGTTACCTTGGTTGCTGATTGGCTAATGGTTACACAAGCCAAAACATCGTTATGACATCATAAAGTGGCCAAAATCTGATCAGCTCATTTTCAGACAGGTTTTATAGAAATGGATCAGGACAAAAAGAGAGAGAATCTTTGTTCCTGAAACTTTCAGAGTCTCTTTACACAGAGGGGACACATGTTGATGTAGAAGAGACATGAAGAAGAGGGGACACATGTTGATGTAGAAGAGACATGAAGAAGAGGGGACACATGTTGATGTAGAAGAGACATGATGAAGAGGGGACACATGTTGATGAAGAAGAGACATGAAGAAGAGGGGACACATGTTGATGAAGAAGAGACATGAAGAAGAGGGGACACATGTTGATGAAGAAGAGACATGAAGAAGAGGGGACACATGTTGATGTAGAAGAGACATGATGAAGAGGGGACACATGTTGATGAAGAAGAGACATGAAGAAGAGGGGACACATGTTGATGAAGAAGAGACATGAAGAAGAGGGGACACATGTTGATGTAGAAGAGACATGATGAAGAGGGGACACATCCACAAGTGGATTTTGCATAGGTGACCTTTAAAGTACAAACAATCCTACTTTCTTTTGTTCAGCAGGATAATCCACAACACCATTTTACCAGAAGTAAAAATCTAAAGTTAGCCTATAAAGAAGCTACCTCGTGGTCACATGACTTCACGTCACCACCACTAAGCTAAAGGCGGCTAATATTGGGCGTTATGACGTTCAGTAGTCTCAATTAGACACTAGTTAGCAAAAGCTGTTTTTACATACATAGAAGCTCCAGACTTTTACCAGTTGGGAATTTACTGACACATTTTATGTTATAGAACAAAACAAAAAAAGTATTTAGCTTGTATTAACCACACATCTTATTTGAGGCATCTAACCAGAATATGTTCAAAGAACTGTTGACATCAGGACGAGGGAATAGGACATTTCAAAATGCTGATCGGATGGATGTTTGCTGGATTCAAGGCAAACTGAAATATTATAGCGGAATAATTTAACGTAATGTTTGTCCAGCCATTACATTCAAATTGTTGAAGCATTCAAAGTAGCATTGGTTTCTTATTGACATGATTCTTGCTACAAACCAAGAAACAATATGAGTACCTTTAACTGTTAGCTGTTACTCTGGCTGTGGTACAATTGTGGATTGGTCAAATGATCCTGGAGTGAAAATGTCTATGATATATTTTGACGTTTGAGGTGGTTTACAGTCATATCAAACAGTTTACAGTATATGACAGACACTGTGGTTACAGTAATTGAAGCGTACAGGGTCTTTCGCACACAGAAACATAATGATATGTTACTTTCTTCAAACCAAGAAACAATATGAGCACTTAGCTACATTTCTGTTTGAATACAAATCAATAGTAGTCAGTCCATTTCTTTTAAGACTGTTGAGTAAAAAAGTCTGTGATATGTTACTTGGTTTGTGGTGTTGAAATGCCAAACATTTGTATAAAGTCATCTCAAACTATTTTCAACATATGACAGAGACTGTGGTTACAGTAGTTCAAGGGTGTCCAAACTACGGCCCGGGGGCCAAATGCGGGCCGTGGACCATTTTGAATCGGCCCTCTGCAAATTAAAAAAGAATAATGGAATATGGCCCACAAATGAAACTTGTGCTTGTCTTATATTGTACTTCTTAAATATAAATGTAAACATATATTACACAGTAGTATTCATGTGTTAATAAGCCCAATGACGTATTTACATAACAAGCTTGAAATACACCCTTCCTATTTCTCCTTATTATCATCAATCTGAGGCTTCTGTTTTAAGGGATGAGCTGCCAACACTCACAAGCATACTCTACCTACATTTGATTGATTTGAACTGAACTTATGAGGCAATAAACCTCTAGTGAGCGGCCCAGCCCTTCGTATATTTTTCTGTATGTGGCCCTCGGTGAAAAAAGTGTGGACACCCCTGCGGTAGTTGAAGCGTACAGTGGCAGTGTGCACACAGAAACACAGAGCAAAGCACTTACTGGGAATTCCAGATACCAGTTTGAGAGGTCGAAGCACCCTAACGGCTCGGAGCGTCCTCAGGTCGAGTTGAGACCCCACTGACGACAGGATACTGCAAGAGAGAAGGAGAGAAAACAGAAAGCAAATTCACTTTAGGAGGCTTTAACTTCCAAAATCTGCAAACTTTCTAAACATGCCTACTGGTCCCAGAGAGTCGTTTGATTTATAGCAGCAACATTGTCTAAAAGCATTGCTTGTACAATGGCACAATAAACCTGCTGAGCAAAGAGGAATTAATGTGTTCACAACAAAATCATTTGCTTTAACCACATTATTTCCACTTCAACATTTACACCTGAACGAACAACACCTACTGAGAGGAGTTAGAAGTGACAAGGACTGTATATGGGAGTAGTAATTAGGGTTAGACCATGGACCAGGACACTCATTCCAGACAAATATTTCGATGTTGACAAAATACAACCTGCAAACTTTCTAACTTTTTACGGTTCAATAGCAACAGAGCAAAGAAACCATGATGACAGTGCACATTTGTATAAGTATGTGTTAAAGTGGACCTATCATGGTATATTTAAATGATATATTGTAGGGCCATACCTATATAAGGTATATTTATACGTTTCTGTTTTCAAAATACCAAACAGATCATGCATTTTAGCCATGCCTCATTTCGCTCTATTTGCTCTGTTTTTGCAAGGGCAGATTCAGTGAGAACAGCACCATCTACTGGCCTGGCATATGTACTACAGCGTCTCCAGCGCTTTCGAACGGCAATGGCCGTGGCTGTCTCCTCTTGATTGGTGGAGTTGGCCCAATAGCCGTAGCGCCACCGTCCTGACGTCAGGACAGTGTTCAAATCTGGATCAGTTTTTATCAGATCCGTTGCAGCCCCTTTTTTAGAGATTTGGGTATGGAGGAAAATAGAGAGGGTTGTGTTTTCTGACACTTGGTGAGTTCCCTGGAACACCGGGGACACATATTCATGTAAGAAAAGACGTACAAAAGTGCATTTTGCATGATAGGTCCCCTTTAAGTGACAAAGTGGATGTTGAGTGAAGATGTCTTTGTCAAATTCCCAAATATTGAGAACAAAATAACAAATATAAATATATGTTATAACTGAAAACATCAATCTGAAGTCGTACACTTTGGGGCCTCATCGTGACACATCTTTGGACATTTGAACCTAATTTAAAAAGTGAATTGTGTGAATGAGTTTTAGGGTAAGGGTTGGACCATCAGTACACTCATATAAGGACGAGTTCAATCTGATGATTACGACTAATTCCCTTGATCACAATGAGTGTTTAAAACCTCTAAAGAAAGTGGATCTTGAGGCGAGATTCGCAAAATGTCATATTCCCACATCTTAAGAAAAACTACAGTATTCGTATTTGTGCTACAAGAGAAGAAAGACATCTGCAGTCGTTTACTTTCTGGACAGATCATGACACATGAACGCCTCAAATTGCAGGTCAATTTATTACACCTCAAAGTATCCATTACTGAGCTGACAGTCACAACAGGAGTGACTCAGGAGCTCTTTTCACTAATGCCTCATTTGCCATCTTTGTCATCACGACACGCCTCCCTCTGTGTGTGTGTGTGTGCGTGTGTGTGTGTGTGTGTGCGTGTGTCTGTGTGAGTGTGTGTGTGTGTGTGTGTGTGTGTCTGTGCATGTATGTGTGTATTTCTTTGTGTATGTCTGTGTCTGTCTGTCTGTCTGTCTGTCTGTGTGTGTGTGTGTGGTGTGTGTGTGTGTGTGTGTGTGTGTGGTGTGTGTGTGTGTGTGTGTGTGTGTGTGTGTGTGTGTGTGTGTGTGAGAAGCTCTGGTGTAAAGGCAGCCAGGGACCGGTTGGAAATGTCCATGCTCTGTCTCGTACGGGGGCGTAAGGCAGGGTCTGTCCAACAGGAGGGGAGGGGAGAGTGAGGGGGCGTTCAGAGGGGATGCTCTGAGGAGAGAGAGAGACCAAGAGGAGGAGGAGGAGAGAGAGAGACGAGGAGGAGGAGAGAGAGAGAGAGAGAGAGACCAAGAGGAGGAGCACACTAAATGGACTCACTTCGGCCTGAAGTCAGACGCCATTAGACGACAAAACAACGCCTGATTAATTAAGAACAAAATTAATGTTCTGCAAGATTCACATTTGCTTCTTTCCTCAAAGTTGCATGTAGCACTTCATTATGTAGGAGGCTCTTCTAACGGCAGGTATTTGTCTGAACGGTGGCACTGCAGACATCTCATTGTTCTTAAACGTCATGCTCCTTCCTCACACAGTCACATGTTACCCGTTTAGAAATGTTCTTATGTCCAAATGACTTAATTCCCACAAAGAACAACATGCACACACAGACTACGTTCTTCTCACTCTCATCTCTACAACCATTTCTCAACCTTCAGAACTGTGAGAGAAAGACCAGCCTTTTGAACATCACGTTATAACCAGGTAAAGGCACAAGAGGGGCAAAGACAATAAACATTTTAAATATGGTATCTCTTCCTCCCTCCATCCCTCTCCCTGTCTCCCCTCCTTCATCTTCATCCCCCACCCTCCTCCTCTTCCTCCTCCATCTGTCTCCAGGTTGGTTGCTAATTCCAGTAAGAGGTCATTTATTAACAGACACGGCACCGGCAGCCAAGGCCCTCATTCCCTCAATGGCTTTTTAACGGCCACGGCTAAAGGCCACGCTGCAGACCTGAAACACCGGCGCTCAGCAGATACAGCAAACCGCCCGAGGTCCAGTAAAGCTCCAACAGACACACAGGCGGTAGATTATCGTCTGACATGTCTCTGAGTAATGAGAGAAACACAACAAGGTGGAAATAACCACATCTGCGTTTGATCAACAGGCGTAGTGGGATTTTACTTATTTCCCAAAAGCTATACAAAACTGTTGCACAATACCACTTCACATCACGTGCATTTTAAAGGGCTTCTTCCCTTTCCTGTAGTGTGTTTCGTAGAGTTTTTAGTGCATGTAAATGGTCTGCAAAGGCTAACATCCCTGTGTTCTCTCCAGTTCCACTGAAAACCCTCGATTGGACTCCCTTGTTTACTTCCAGAACATAGTGACATCTCTCTGTAACACTTGTGCTTCTTTTTGCTAGCGCTATGACACATTGTACATTATAGGCTTAGGGGCGGGACATCTATAAGCGGTTGACCAATCACAACAGAGATGGATTTCTGCATCCTGAGCAGATGGATGCGGCAAAAGAGCAACTGTTCTGTTTTCCTTCCCTGCCTCTCCGTCTCTCCATCATGTGTCTCCCTTTTTCTTTCCTCCCGCACATCTCATTCTGATGCAGAGCTTCAATATTCATCGGCGCGACACGGCAACCATCCGCCGCTGCCAGACTACCCAAAACCTCCAGGATGCAGTCACCCCTGGCAACGGCTGAAACCGGCCCACAATGCCCCGGGGGCGGCCGGTAGAGGGAGCAGCGACTGCCGCTTTAAAGGGGGATGAAGGGTGCGAGGAGGGGAGTTAGGAAAGAGGAAACAAGTGGAGCAACAACATGAGGGTGAAGGAGGAAGAGGTCAGAGGAGAAGAAGGGGAGGAAAGCAACTGAGAGGTAGATAAGGATATGGAATAACTTATTTTACATTTTTAAGCTCCATATATTTGTATTAAACTACTAGAAACCTGCAGGTCCATTGCAATATATATATCTAATGAAATACATAAAAATAACCACACTGCTCCTGTAACAAAATAACTTCTCAAAGTGGGATTAATAAAGTATTTATTTATCTATCCGACTCACACTTCATTTAAATCCAGCCTGAAACGTTCCTTTTTGGCGCCGCCTTCAACAGAATAGTATTACTTTTATTCTTGTATTTTATACCAGTCTTATTGTATTTAAACTTATTTGAATGGTTGAACATGAAATATGAACTGTTACCATTATTTGAGTGATACAGGGTCTCAATATTTAATAAGGTTAAACTGAAGCACTCTTTTTGTGCTTCAGTGTAACCTTAATTCAAAGATCTTAATCCGTGAATAAGGGTCTTGAATGTAACGTGATATTAAATGTCCCTGATTCTTGTCTTAAACACTTTGTTGATGTTGGAAATACAGCAAGAAAATCTGACTTGATCTGACAATAACGGTTTTGTATGAATCAGATTTAAGAGTTTTACGGGCCAATGGAAGATTTTTCAGATCATTGGGGTCGAAAAGACCTGATACAGCGCTATATAAGTACAGTCCACTTACTATACCTATTTTTGGATAAAGCTTTCCTGTCAATGTCACCTTGTCTTGAACTGTCTCCCACATCTTTCTCAATCATTTAGCTGCAATAGCATTTATGACCAAGATGTACGAAAACATGTCAGATGTGTCCTTAGACATGAGAGTCCATGATGGAATACAGACTGGGAGACAATATACAGAAGATCCCTCGAGAGAAAGAGTGAACAGATTGAAAGAGAGTGATAGTCCTGTGAGTCAAAAGTGTGAGATTCCACTGCAGAGAGAGAGAGAGAGAGAAACCCCGAAGAGAGACGAGCGACTCCAGAGAGAAAGAGAGGATGTCTGCTGAGGGAGAAGGTGTTTGGACAGCGATGACAGAAGCGTTCACTCGCGGGAAACACCTTAAAATTAAACTGTAACGCACGCACGCACGCACGCACGCACGCCAGCATTCACCCTCTCACACACAGAGGCAGAGGCTTCCATACAAGGCACCACCAGATCAAAGAAACTATCATTCACACACACACTTACACACACACACTCGTTGGCCATTGGAAGCAAATCGGTTTTAGTGTCCTTCCAAAGGAAACAACGAAAAGGGCTGGGGATCGAACCACAGAACTTCTAATTGGACGATGAGCCACGGACGCCCCCAAACTGTGTGGCAAAACCAAGTGATTACAACCTCCAGGTTTGTTATGTAATGCCAAGAGGTTTTCCCAATGACTTTTTACCCTCTGTCTGAAACCAGAGTCCAGTCTGCTCTGTCCAATTCAACCATTTAATGAAAACATCTAGGTTTAATCCCCGTCTTAAAGAGTCCTCTCCTGCTGATGTTCAGGTGTATATCAGTATGTAGTGTCTCTACTTTAAAGAGTCCTCTCC